GGCTGTCCGGAAGTTGAATTCTGTAGATCAGAGTTGCTCACGTTTTAATTCATCATTAGTGAGTCAGTCCTAATGAGAACGTGAGTAAAATGTATTTACGTTGTCATTTAGAACAAGAACCTTTTCACATGAAGATGTGTCAAAGGTGTATTTGTGTAATTAGAAGTGAATTATGTATGTGACTCAAATGATACCCTTCACACTGACAGCTTTCGTCAGCTCATGCAGCAGATTGATAGAAATCACGGAAGCAAAAAGGGAAGTCTGTATGCTGCCAGGAGGCAAGAAAAAACGGCTGGGGCTGCTTTCTTCAATGTCCAGCACAGCTCTATGCTCAGTAATTAGCTTTAAAAATACCTTAAAACTGAGATCTGTGAACAAAGAATGAGATCATGGCAGTGAAGGAAGAAAAAGAAGTGAAGCACCTCATTCATGCATTATCCTACTTAAAAGCAGCTGTTCTGTGCCAGAGACCATACAAGGTCCTGAGATACTAGGATAAAATAAAAGTAAGATAAAATCCCTGTCCTCAAATAATTCAGTCTATGGGAGAGGGAGTCAGGTAAACAAACAGTTACAGACAATGTGTTAAGTACTACAAAGCAGAGCTATGGACTGGGAGCATAGAGAAGGGAAAAAAGAAGGGAATTCTTATAAACTGAGCATCTGCCACAGAAAAGGTGCGATATATATGCAACCCAGATGTTAACGGGGTGCCTTTAACATCTGGATTAAATGAGTTTGAACTTACACAAATCCCTGGCCTGTCAGAGTCCAAAGCCTTCTTCAGTCCCCAAGAGTTTACCATCATCTGCTTCTCAGCCTCTGGGCTCCCGTGTCATACATGCTGCCTCTGTCCCACGCCACACGGATTCCCTCAAGGAATTCAGCCTCTCTTCTGAAATTTCGGCAAGATTTCAGGGTGGGGCAGAGCTGAAGGGAGGATTACTGTCCCCAATACTTAGCAAACAACCAACTGGAGAACAACTGTAATTTCAAATACCTTCCCTGGTTCCCATCACTGGGAGTTGCTCATATTTAACCCCGTCCCAGCCTCCCTCCATATTCTCATTTTTTTCTCTTCTCACCCTTCCCTCTCAAACTGCCTCCAAAATTTCAAATTTTTCTCCCTCTATTACACTTTAACAGCAACCAACACACAAGGTCTTGAGAGGCTCACTAAAGTTTTAATAGGGTGTTTTTCCAAATAAAGACTAAGAGGAATTCTGATGCAAGCAGTCAAGATAATATTTCTCTACCTCATTAGCCATATCTTATTTTATTCAAGTTTCACAACTACCCTTAGATATATCACTGAACAGATGGGAAAACTCAGTTCATCTAAGACAATACTAACCCTATCTTGTACATTAATACATTAATAATGCACACAAAGCACTTAGCATTTAGAAGACAGTAATAAACACTTATAATAAATGATAGCCATTATTATTTTTACCACTACAATATTTAGTTGTTTTACCTCTTATCTAGCTACATTTACTAGACCTAAGTAATATCATCCAATCTCACGACTTTATTAAATACCATCTATATACTGACAAATCCCAAATTGATCTCCAGCCTTGACCAACGCTTCTGAACTCAACTCATGTACCAAAGTGCTTATTTGACATCTACACTGGATATCTAACAGGCATATCAAACTGGACCCAATCAAAACTGAACTTGTGACCTCCCCCCATAAACCTCTCCTCTCAGTCTTCCCATCTCAGTGGGAAATGGCAACTCCATTTCTCCTTTGGCTCAGGCCAAAAACCTTGGAGTCATTCTTGCTTTTTCTCTTTTTCTTATACCCTACATTCAATCCATTCAGACATCTTGTTGGTTCTGCCTTCAAAAATATCCAAAATCCAACCACTCCTTAACAATTCACTGTTACCACTTGGTCTAAATCATCAACACCTTTTGACTGGATTATTGCAATAGCCTCCTAACTCATTTCATTACTTCCACCCCTTGTTCCATCATAGTCTGTTCTCATCATAAAGCAACTCAGATCATGTCTTTCCTTGGTTCAAATCCCAATGGTTTCCCATCTGCCTCAGAGTAAAAGCAAAAGCTCTCAAAATGGTCTTCAATGCCCTGTAACATTTGATCCCCCCCACCACCATCACCTCTTTTACCTCATCTCTTACCACTCTTCTTCCTCTCTCAACAACAGCCTCTGGCTGTTTCTCAAACATGTCAAACACTCGTTCATCTGTCTCAAGACCTTTGCACTTGAGGTTCCTTCTGTCTGGAACACTTTTCCCAGAGAATGTCATGGTTCTCAATCCCTCACTTTTTTCAGGTCTCTGCATAAATCCACCCTATATAAATAGCAATCCCCTGGGGCCGGCCTAGTGGCATAGTAGTTAAGTTGGGCATGCTCTGCTTTGGCGGACCAGGATCACAGGTTCGGATCCCAGGCGTAGACATACACCACTCATCAGCCATGCTGTGGTGGCGACCCACATACAAAATAGAGGAAGATTGGCACAGATGTTAGCTCAGAGTGAATCTTCCTCAGCAAAAAAAAGAAAGCAACTCCCATACCCACTTTGTTTAATATCTCCCTTATTCTGCTTATTTTTGTTCATAGCACTTATCATCATGTGCCATATTACATATGTGTATATGTATGTATATATGTATGCTATGTAATAAGTATGTATATGGTGCCAGAATGAAAGCACCATGAGGGCAGAGACTTTGCCTATTTTGTTCATTGTTGTATGCATAACCCCTATAACAATATCTGACATGTACTAGGTACTCAATAAATATTTGTGGAATGACAAATGAATTTAATCATTTAATCAAAATTAAGGAAGGCAAGAGTTTCAAGAAGGAAGTATTCACCAATACCTAATGTGAACAGAAGTCAAGATAAAGATTGAAAAGAATTCACTGCATTTGTCAACTAGGGTGTCACTAGGATAGAGGCCTTGAGTGTTGGGGGATGGAGGCCAACAGCTTTGGGTTGACAGTGACCAGGAAGCGGGAAAGTGAGACATTAAGAATAGAACTCTCAGGGCCAGCCCGGTGGTGCAAGCGGTTAAGTGTGCAAGCTCCGTTGTGGTGGCCCGGGGTTCGCCGGTTCAGATCCCGGGCACACATCAACACACCGCTTGTCAAGCCATGCTGTGGCGGCGTCCCATATAAAGTAGAGGAAGATGGGCACGGATGTTAGCCCAGGGCCAGTCTTCCTCAGCAAAAAAGAGGAGGATTGGCATTGGATGTTAGCTCAGGGCTGGTCCTCCTCCCAAAAAAAAAAAGAAAAGAATAGAACTCTCTTCTGAAAACAGTGGTGATGGCTGCATATCGTGAATGTACAAATAGTAATTCATTCTGGCATGGTCTATTTTTTAAATATGGTATAAAGTAAAACATACTTTTTTTTAACTTTCATATTATCAGCTCATTCCATTAAATGATTATTCTGCCAACAAGTATTTACAATTGGAAGCCATCAATTATAATTATTAAAATGTTTTTCCTCAGTAATTCCCCTGTGGATAACGTCTCAGGTCAGGTTCCCTGGAAAACAGACAGAGGTAGATTTGCATGCAGTGAGTTTGTTGGGAAGTGCTCTTAGGAACAACACCTGTAAGGGAGTGAGAGAAGCAGGACCGGACAGAGAGAAGCTGGACTGCAAGGAAGCTGCAACAAAGGCCTCCCCTGAGGAGCTCTGGAGCTGAAACGGTCCCTTAGAGTTGTCCCAAATTGAGGCAAGGGGGCTGGGCCTTTCCACTCTGCATCAACAAATCACTGGATGCCAGCCACCCTGGGGAGGGAGCGTAACCTTAGGCAAGGCAGCTCCTTTCAGCTGAGGGCTATTCTTAGGGAGAGATTTGGCCATGAGTGGTCCTAGGCAACACTCCTGGCAGCTGGGGGAAATGAGCACTGTAGTCCTGAAGGGGGCAATCTGGGCCACACATTATAGCATCCACTATAGTTAAGATAGACAATAAAGTTGCCAGTCCCTTATCACTGTTTTTTTTAAGGATTTTACACCTCAGAATAATATGGTACAAGATACATACTGAAAGAGGTTGCATATGTAAAGCCTCATATTTGGGGCCTATACAAGGTGCCATGAAACACCATTTTTGCTTACTATTAGTTGACTACTTCCTCACTGACAAATTTGATCCCAAACTGCCTGTTCACAAATGGCACTACAAATCTAAAGAATTGAGATTTGATGATACATAACTGAGTCTTTATTTAACACCTCAAGACAATACTCAGGCTAAAAGAAATTTTCCTAAATGAAAGTAAAAGCTGATTACAGAAGCCCCAATTGGAGATTACATGAGCAACTCCTTTTTCTTTGCAGACTTGTCTTCTAAAGCTTGCTTTGTACAATAAAACTCTCTTTTTAACGTCAAAAATTACTACAGACAACTCTTGATATAACGGGGGTTGAACCACTATTCAGTATACAAACAAAGTTTGGTTTTATAGACTGCATGTCAGTCCCCCACGAGTCTGAGGTCCCAAATTAGGAACTAGTGCTTTGAAGTGTCTAATAGTCCTTCATCTGCTGCCCCAACCCACTGACCATTCTCACTCCAACTGCCCTGCAGCAACTATTACATCCAACTTCATTTGCAATCCTCTCTGATTCTCTTTCTCCCTTGAGCTATAGTTGAAACTTACCAAGTTTTTCAATTATCTCACACATTTATGGCTAATATTCCTAATAAGATTAGATTCCCCAAAGATAGAGACTAGGTACTTCACCTTTTTATATTCCTTATGAAAATTCTTTAGTAGATACTTAATAATAGGTGCATTATGGAATTATTAATAACAATTATAGAATGATAGAAGTATATCTTTAATGTTTCAAATTTAAGAATAGATACAAAAAATTAAACTCAAACAGTTTTGACTATTGTATCAAAACTGATACATTTTGCAACAAAAACATAGTATTATAATTAAAATAATTCTATTAGTTTTCAAAAATTACATTTAATTACTATATTAATTTTTTTTAAAGGAGAGCAAGGGAATGTCATAAAGTAATCTTTCATTACATAGCAGTAGTTTGATTGGTTATATTCTGAAAAAAGAATGACACATTTTCTCTTATTCTTTCAAGAAAAGGATCTGTAAGATTTAAATGGTCTCCAGAAAAATGCTTCCACTGCTTCAGCTGTGACATGGAGAGGGGTTTCAGGGAGTCAGACTTCTGTTGATGTGGACCAAGCTGACAATTTCTAGAGACAGAGAATTTTTCCAAGGAATCACCTGAAATAAGTAAAACAATGAGAAAATCCTTAGGCCAATAAATATTGTACTATATACAATACTTTTTACTTTATGATATAGTAAGTTTATGTGATTTATTACATTTGAATCACTACAGTTCAAGTTAAAATAAACAATTTAATTAATTCATTTCTTCTACAAATATTTATAAATTGTTTACTACATGCTAATTTAAGCACTGGGGACAAAAATGATGAACAAAAATAGACATGGTCTCTGACTTCAAGGACCTTATGGTCTAGTGGCAGAGATATACGTTAAACGAATAATCGTCCAGACATGTATTCAGGTCCTCAATTCCTATCTAAAGCCTTTGAGGCCAGACATGTTTCCAAATTCAGAACATAACTGGAACATCCTGGGACAGCACTCCATAATCAAACTCATTATTATTCTGCGGCAAGTCAAATGAATAGTCTTATGAAATGGGTTAAAGACGATTGATAAATTCACAGCAATTCAGCTAAGGTTTTGTCACCAAATAAGTTTGTTGCAAATTTATGAAGGAAAAAAAACAAACTTTTGGCCTTAAAATTGAAGATAAAGGACTGTGAAGCTATGTTACAAACAGAGGTTAAGGGTATGAAGTTAAGATACAGGGGACTATGAGCACGTATCACAAGAGAAGCTCATCTGTTTTATTAAGATCTGAAGGACAAGAAGGCAAGAACTAGATGGCGAAGAGAGGTGAAGCTTTCCAGAAGGACTTACAAAGGCTATGAAAGGGAAGGGACATTTGGCACAGTTGAGGAACTGACAGGAGCCTAATGCAACTAGAGCCTAGAGAGCAAAGGCCAAGAATAACGCGAGAAGAGAAGCTGAGTAATGCGAGGCGAAGCACCCATTCAAGAGCTAGATTATGCAAACCACTGTAAACAAATCACGAATAGCAGAGGATAGTAGATATCCACTAAATCCATTTCCCTTTCCTCCAGGACACTTAGCCACATTTCCCAGCCTCCCTTACAGTCAGCTGCAGCCACTGAGTCTGGCCTATGGAGCGTGAACAGAAGTGATCTACATCACTTCCAGATCTGGCCAATAAAATCCCCAACACCATATGGTTTTTTTCTTCTCTTCCCTGCTGGCTGGCAGGTGCAAGGATCCCAGCAGGGAATTCTAAGGCCTAAGAGGATGGTAGAGCCCAAGTCTGGATGGCTCAATCACCTTAGGGAAGGCTGTCTACTATGTTACTACCATGCAACCAGTTACATGAGTGAGAAATATACTTCTATTGTGGTAGGCCATGGTGCTTTTTGAGTTTCTTGTTAGAGCACTTAGCCTAACCTAATGAACTCACCACTTTAAAGATTTTACTCTTTATCCTAAGAGCAATGGGAGCTATTGAAAGTTTTATTTTTTTAAGCTTTCAATTATGGGAAATTTCAAATATATATAAAAGCTGACAAGATAGAAATAAAGAACCTCCAGGTTTATATATCCCATCTTCAGTAACCATCAACTAATAGCCAACCTTGTTTTATTTAGACCCCACTTTTTCCACTTCCTTATTACTCTGAAATAAATAGGTAGCACACATCATTTCATCTGTAAATATTTCACTCTGCACTTCTAAAAGATAAAGAATTCTTTTTAAATTTTATCACAGCTAAAAAAAACTAAGTCTTTCCTAGACAAACAGTGCATGATTTCACTCATATGTGGAAGGTAAACCAACACATGGACAGACAGAACTGTTTGGTGGTTACCAGGGGCTGGGGGGTGGGGGTGGGCACAAGGGGTGGAGGGATGCACTTATATGGTGACTGATAAACAATAATGTACAACAAAAATTTCACAATAAAAAAAAAAAGAAAGGAAAAAAAAATTAAGTCTTTCCTTAACATCATCAAAATCCTGTCAGTGTTCAACATCATTGAGGTTTTAAGAAAAGAGATGACAAGATTGCTTTGAGAATCCAGAAGACAGTAGAATAACACCTTAAAAGTACGGACCAAAAAAATCACCTATCAACTAGAATTGTACATCCAGCAAAGATAGCATTTAAGAGAGGAAAAAAAACAAATACACTTCGAAAAATCAAAGATTGAGAGAGTTAACCACTAATAGGCCCTTGTTGACATGAAAAGACAGTAAATATGAACCAAAATATATGAATAATTATAATAAAGGTGAACAGACTAAATGCTGTAGTTAAAAGAGAACATCAGACTGGATAAAAAATAAAATACAGTTTTATGTTATTTACAAGAAAGATACCTAAAACATAAGGACACACAAAGATTTAAGCTAAAAGAATAGAAAAAGATACACTAGACAAATACTAATCATAAGAAAGCCAGTGTAATATATTAACAAAACAAAATGAAAGCAAAAGGCATTAGGGATAAAGCAATCACTACATAATAATAAAATAAACAATAATGAAAAAAAATTTCACAAAGAAGATATAAAATATATAAAGCAAAAATTGACTAATAACAAGAAACCGACAAATCCACTGTCATATTGCACAATTTTTAACATTTTTCTTTCAATCACAGATATATGTAACAAAGAATCAGTTTATTAATAGAAAAATAGGCAAATGATATGAGCAGATGGTTCACATGAAGGAAATATGGCTCTTAAACATAGGAAAATATAATCAACTTCAAAAAGAGAAAAGCAAATTAAAAGTAGACCAATATATTAATTTTTTACTATCAGATTGGCAAAAATCCAAACATTTGATAATCTATTAAATAGGCAAAGCTGTGGAGAAATAGCCATTTTAGTATAACGTTGGTGGGGTATATATGATACAACCCCCAACAGAGGGCATTTTAGCAAAATCTATCAAAACTACAAATGCACATATCCTCTGACCAGTAACACTGATAATTTACCTTATAGATACATTTGAACATAAGGGAAAAGATGTATGAATACAGATATATACTGACTGGAAAGAATCTAATTGTACATCTGTGGGGTCAGATAAATAAATTATGGTATATCCATACAATGGAGGATTGTATAGCTAAGGGAAAAAAGAATGAGGAAACTCTTTCTGTAATGACATGAAAAGATCTAAAGATAAACTATAAAGTAAAAAAGGTACAGAACTATACATATACTATGATACCTTTTACTGAGGGGAAACTGAGTAAGGATATATTCAGAGTCCCTTGCACGTGCATAAAATTTTAGCTAGAAGGACACACAAAAAAATAATAATGGTGGTTTCTTATGGGGTAGTAGGGCTAGAAACTAGGCAGATGACGGGACTGTGGGAAGAAAAGTTTTAACCATATATATTCCATATTTCTAAATAGTTGAGCCATATAAATATACTACCAATTTATAAATTAAATTAGTAAATTTTTAAATCTATAAAATAAGAAAAAATTGATTTGGTAACATAAAACTTGGCTAATACACCAGAACTCTAAGTAAGTAAGAGAATATATATGGTTTTCATGCACAAAAGAAACATTTACAAAGTGACCACATCCCAGGCCACACATCAAGTCTCTATAGTTACCAAAGAATCAGTATCACACAGGCCATATTTCTGACTACAGTGCAGTAGCCAGAATTGAATAACAAAAACTAAAATACATTTTAAAACATACTTTTAAATACCTCATGAATCAAAGAAGAAATCACAATGAAAAATAAAATATTCAGAACTGAATAATAAAAAGACTGTATACCAAATTATGAGCTTAGAGGAAAATTTACAGCCTTAAATATCTATTTTTAGAAAAGAAGGGCCGGCCCCGTGGCTTAGCGGTTAAGTGCGCACGCTCCGCTACTGGCGGCCCGGGTTCGGATCCCGGGCGCACTGACGTACTGCTTCTCCAGCCATGCTGAGGCTGCGTCCCACATACAGCAACTAGAAGGATGTGCAGCTATGACATACAACAATCTACTGGGGCTTTGGGGGAAAAATAAAAAAAATAAAAAATTTAGAAAATAAGATTGAAAATTATTAAGCTAAAGCATTCAACTTGAAAAATCAGAAAAAGAACATTAGATAAATATAAGGAAAAAGTAAGAGCAGAGTTAAGAGCAGAAATTATTAAAATAGAAAAAACATACAAGACAGAGGATCAAATGTTGATTTATATAAAATATAAATTCTTGGGGCCAACCCTGCGGCATAGTGGTCATGTTTGGCACGCTCCATTTTGGCAGCCTGGGTTCGCAGGTTCAGATCCCAGGCGTGGACCTTTACCACTCATCAGCCATGCTGTGGCGGTGTCCCATGTACAAAACAGAGGAAGATTGGCACAGATGTTAGCTCAGGGCTAATCTTCCTCAGCAAAACATATATATATATATATACACACATATATAAATTCTTCTTTTATATAATTACATAAATTATACAAAATATATATATATACAAATTCTTCCATGTCAATCTTATACAGTCTAACTTCTTACACCTATCTCAGTGCAATTTATCAAGTGACTTCCAACTACTGGACATTGTTTGCTCAAGTCCTAGTCCTGATCCAGTTCCTATCTGAACGGTGTTAATTCTGGAGGGTTGATGTTTTCAGCTTCACTTAAGCAGCACAAGCAGTTCGTCCAGTACTGAGAAGAATGCTGGCCCATGCTAACTGCCTCAGAAAGTATGACCTCATTATGAATAAGTTCTACACAAAATAAACAAAGTCAGATTATTCTGTCAAGTGTATGTTTTCTGTGAAACAGAAATAAGGACTAAAAACATTTTTCTAATTCTAAAGCCATTATACCAGGATTTGAAAGATTTTCCTAAATAAGTTAAACTTTTCACAACTGATTCAGAAATAAGAAGCTAAATTGAGGGAACTAATAACGTTCTAATTAATATTTTCTTAAATACTCATCTGGCAGTTGTCCTGAGGAAAAAACTAACATATGCAAATGATAAATATTTTAGTTTTTCTGTATTTAAATATTTTCAACTGCTAAAGATAGACAAATTAACTTTACCATTGTAACAGAATTAAAATACAACTAACCTGTATGATCTTTTTCTCCTGTACATTCACAGTCAAGCAGGTCATGAGTAACACAACGTGAACTTTCATGTAATGTGAACAAATTTTTAAGTTCCTCTACTGAAAACTGAATATGTTCAGATGTCTTGGTTAGGTCTACAACTGCCCCAGAAAGACCTTGCTTACTGATCTGCCTTTGATAGATCTTTTCTTCTATTGTACCTGAAGAGAAAACATTCATAAGATTGTCTTCAGATCTTTATGTTTGTTATTTTTATAGGATAAAACACGTTTATTAGCATGAATATGAATATTAGCATGTTTATTAACAAAATAACTATATTCTTGATACTGAAGCACAGATTAACCAAAAAAAATTTTTTCAATTATTCAAAGGAAATACATTTTTTGTCACACTGAAAGGTTATTACCTGTGGTTAGAAGTCTGTAAATATGTACAGGATGTTTCTGGCCATCTCTCCACACTCTAGACATTGCCTATCGCAAATAAATGAGAATTCTGAGAGTACAGTATAAACTAATAGCTCTTTCCACATAAGCAATTTGCGTTAATACATTTAAGATGAGGAATTCTAGATTTTACTTATAGCTTCAAAAAACAAAGGCAGGCATGCCCAAGCATTCACCACTTCACATCTTTTTCCTAAGAAGGGGATGGATGAACACTCATTGTGGTTCAAACATTCTCTCTTTGATGAGAGAGTCTACCTGCATCAAAGAATAGGACACCAAGTTTGGACAGCAAGAATGTAAAGAACCAAGGATAGCACGGGCATGGAGGGTTTATTCCCAGTCCAAGTAGCTAACGATTCCCCCCTAAAGAATCCCTAGGATACCTGCAATTAGCTCAGGCTCTACGTAGAACCCTGTGGTTTCAGAACTTATCAATGATACTATACAGTAAAAGGCTGACGGGGCAGGCCTGGTGGCGCAAGTGGTTAAGTGTACGCGCTCCGCTGTGGCGGCTCGGGGTTCGCTGGTTCGGATCCCGGGCGTGCACCGATGCACTGTTTGGCAAGCCATGCTGTGGCGGCATCCCATATAAAGTGGAGCAAGATGGGCATGGATATTAGCCCAGGGCCAGTCTTCCTCAGCAAAAAAAAAAAAGAGGAGGATTGGCAGATGTTAGCACAGGGCTGATCTCCTCACAAAAAAAAAAGGCTGATGTTCAAACCCTGCACATTCCAAAGAATAGTGTGGCCTTCAACCAGCTCCTGGGAAATAAACTCTAAGCCCTTGGACTATCCTGCCTAATAAGAGCATCTTAGTTTACCTAGGACCTTGGGCCGCACAAGACAGTTTACACTAACAATGTGATTTAGGTGGGTTAGGTGGGGTCCTTGGGCCAGTTTGACCTCTGGAGGGGTTGGAGACTGAGCCACTAAGGTCAGTCACATGGGTACTCCATGCCTATATGACCAACGTCCAACAAAAACTCTGGACACTAAGGCTCAAGTGAACTTCTCTGGTTGACAATACTCCATATGTGCTGTCATTCACCAATGCTGGGAGAATTAAGTGTTGTCCATACAACTCCAGTGGTAGAGGACAAGTGGAAGCTTGTGTCTGGTCTCTCCTGGACTCTGCCCTATGTGCCTTTTACCTTTGCTGATTTTAGTCTGTATCCGTCGACTGTAATAAACCATAACTATGAGCATAGCTGTTTTTCTCGGTGCTGTGAGTCCTTCTAGTGAATCATTGAACCTGAGGGTTGTCTTCAGGTCCCCTAAGACAGATACCAAATGAGGTACAAATCTAAAGGTAGAAGTCTCAAAATACACAGAGCTGGACTGTATTCTGAAGAAAACCAAAGGCTTCTTCTGAAATATTTTCCTAAATAAGCTAATTTTATATCTCTACTATACTTTGCACAAACATTGATCATAGCACCTATAACACTTTATTGTCTTCCCCTGATTTTCACGAGAATCCTGAAGGCCCATCTGTGCAGTGAAGTAGAGCCTCGAGACATACAGGTTTGGGTTTGAATCCTGGCTCTGCCTCTTACAAGCTATATGATCTAGAACAAGCTTCCATATCTTCATATGTAAAATAGGGCTAATAATGTCCACACTTGCAGGATTATTGCGAAGATTAAATAGATGTAAAGCACTTAGCGGAGTGCTTGGTACAAAATAAGGGCTCAATATGCAGCAGTTATTACATATCACCATCATCTTTGTATCCCCAGAAGGCATTGTATCCCCAGAGGGCAATCTATAATGTTTATTTAATGCATAAATAGTCCTACCTGGATATCAGTGGCTGGATTCCAATCAATGTCATAGAGAATTAAGTGAGATCCTCCAATAAGGTTAAGTCCTACACCACCAGCTTTTGAACTCAACAAAAAAATAAAATCAGAAGAGTATTTACTATTAAAGCCATCAACAATTTGCTGCCTTTGAGAGATTGGTGTTTGTCCATCGAGTCTTGTATAAGCATAGCCATGACGCTTGCATACTTCTTGTAAAATATTCAAGGTTTGTGTGTAGTTAGATACCAACACCACCCTGTCAATCAAAAAGAAAGATTCTTTATATACAATTTAAAAGCAATATTAGATTTTTTTTAATTGAAGGAAAATACCACAGTAATATTATCACTGATATTTACAGAATATGCAAAAATGACCTTGTACAATTAAAACACAGGCTCTCCTTCAAATTCAACTTTAAAGTCACTATCTAAGAGATTTCCAGTATTAAAATAGTGGAGTAAAGACCCTTCTTCTTTCTTTACCTCTCTGAAGTCACCCTGAAAACAGCAGGAGAATGAGAAACGGAAATACAAACTCTATCTTTGATAAAACAAGGAGACATTTGTACACGAAAACAAGAAGTGTGGAAAGGTGACCTGCTTAGGAGTACAGAGAAAGTAAAACCTAACCACTCAAAGAGGGAGATTCCAATAAGAAACAGTGCAAGTTCATTCACACCATAGAATCTTGTTAAGGCCCCTCAGAAGTGAGGACTTTAGACTGAAACTATTACAAGAGCACTGGTAAACAGACCCCAGGCCTTCCTCCTCTGTAAGCAGTGGACTTGTCTCTCTCAACTAGAATGTTTATTCTCTGGAGAAAGTAAACCAAAGAAACTTAAACAGGGGACTCTAGAAGGCAAGGATACAGGGACAAATCAAAATGAAAGTCTGCATACTGGATGGTAAGATCCCAGCCCCTTTTTCTGCCAACTCCCATAACACCAGCAGCTACTGTTGGTTTTGAGAAGTCTGATGCCTTTCTGATTTCCCACCCCAAGAAAGATGTTATTGGAAGAGTCATCTCTGTCCATCCATGTTGTCACAAATGGCTGGATTTCATCGTTTCTTATGGCTGAGTAGTATTCCACTGTGTATATATACCACATCTTCTTTATCCATTCGTCCCTTGATGGGCACTTAGGTTGCTTCCAAGTCTTGGCTATTGTGAATAATGCTGCAATGAACACAGGGGTGCATGTACCTTTACAAATTGGGGTTTTCAAGTTCTTTGGATAAATACCCAACAGTGGAATGAGGGTATAATGCAAAGTGAAATAAGTCAGAGGGAGAAGGTCAAATACCATATGATTTCCTTCATTAAGTAGTAGATAATAACAACAGTAAACAAACACACAGAGACAGAGATTGGATTGGTGGTTACCAGAGGGGAAGGGGGGAGGGAGGAAGGTGAAAGGGATAATTTGGCACATGGGTGTGGTGATGGGTTGTAACTAGTATTTGGGTGGTGAACATGATGTAATCTATGCAGAAATAGAAGTACAATGATGTACACCTGAAATTTTTACAATGTTATAAACCAATGTTACTGGTTAAAAAATTAAAAAAAAAAAAAAAGTCATCTCTGGACTGATCTGAACGACCCCACAGAAAAGGTCCACAGATACACAGTCCCCAAATAAAAAAGCCAGCTTGCTGCCTTATTACCCAATGATGGCCACCAGTCAACAAGCCCTGCCCATGCACACAGAGTGTTCAATTAATGGCTTGCTGCCTCACTCCTAAGTATGAATGGACACCAAGGATCACCAGCTTTTTGAGGTAAGCCTCCAACATGAAAAATAGAAACCAAAACAAATAAACAGAAAATAAGAAACCTGAATAAAACAGAGCAATAGAGGATACAGAAGACAACTTTAAGAAAATAATTAATATTCTCAAATAAGAGATAGCGTTCATAAGAAGAGGACGCAATAAAAAAGAACAATCAAGAAGAAGGAAAATATCTTAGAAATTTAAAATGAGAGTCAAAATAAAAATTTAATAGGGGAGATGGAAGCTATAATAATAAGCGAGTTTGCCAGGAAATAGATTAAAAAGGAAAAATGATGACCAATAGGAGAGAAAAGACAAAAGAACAAGAGAATGGATCCATGAGGTTCAATATCCTACTGACAGAAATTCCAAAGAAAACAAGAAAAAGAAATTGTTTTAAGGGAGAGTGAATATTTCCCAGACATGAGGTCTTCAGATTAAAAAGATCTACTAAAACGTTCCCAGCTCGATAAGTGAAAAAATGATCCATATTGAGGCACATCAAGATTATAACTCAAAGTACAAGGAATGAAGAAAAGTTGCTAGAGCTTTCATGAAGAAAAACAAGTTATATGCAAAGAATGGAAATCAGAAAGGCATTAGACTTCTCAAAAGCGACTCTGAAAGTTAGAAGACATATAAACCACCCCTTCAAAATTCTAAGAGAATACTGTTTCAATCTAGAATTTTATAACTATGCAAGTTGTCAGTCAAGTGCTGGGGTAGAATAAAGACAGTTTCAGACAGGCAAGAAGTCAAAAAGATTTACCTCCCATCTTTTCTTTCTTAGGAAGCTACTGTAGGATGTGCTCCAGCAAAATGTGAAACCCTGAAACAGGCGATTCAACACAAAAGAGAAGAAAAAGGAATTTCTAGGTGATGGTTACGCAAAGTCCCAGGACGACAGCCATGTAGCAAGATTAGAGAATAACCAGTTCAAATTGTAACAGGAGGGCAGAGGACTCCAAAAGAGAAGACAAAGAAAATACAAAGGCACTTAGAAACTGAGAGGAAAAATGTACTGAAAGGTACTGAAGGCAATAGGGAGAGTTTGCAATACTCACAAAGAATAAAGCAAATAGCAAGAGGGGTAAAAAAGTAATCAATAGCTCTAAGAGGCTGAAAAGTTATTCAAGAAAGGAAATGTAATCATGGCAAGCTATTTGACTTAGTAGTGAACAACAACTTTGCTGTAATAACATAAGTATTAAATATTGATCCAACCAGAATTCGATGTAACTGTCTTGAAAGGATGGAAGGTGAGGGGAGACATGAGAGTGCTAAATTCTCATGAATCATAAGAGAAAGTCGTTAGATAATGTCAAAAATGGATGAGACACGTGATGTCAACAAGATGTACTAGAAGCTCCAGGTCCTCTATGGAAACATTAAATAAACAACTGGAAACTGACTAAAATAACTTTATAGGACCTCTGGAAATTAGTCAAAGATCTAGCAACCAAGCGAATGCTCAACCAAGAAAAAGCCACATTTAAAATAATAGGATACTTCATGGTGTTTTTACTCACCCTGGCCCTACCCTCTACCGGTGTGGCTTAGTTTGGAGACTGTGACAACCTGATCCCCTGTTCCATTTGGTGAACTGGAGAGAATAGAGTGCACCGAATTTGCAAGTTGTTTTTTTTTTTTTTTTGAGGAAGATTGGCCCTGAGCTAACATCTGTTGCCAATCTTCCTCCTTTTTTCCTTTTTCCTCCCCAAAGCCCCAGCAGATAGTTGTACGTCACAGTTGTACACCCTTCTAGTTGCTCTATGTGGGACGCCGCCTCAGCACGGGTTGATGAGCAGTGCGTAGGTCCATGCCCAGGATCTGAACCGACGAACCCCGGGCCACCAAAGTGGAGCATGCAAACTTAACTGCTGCACCACGGGGATGGCCCCCAAATTTGCAACTTCTAACCTGTCTGCAGGCTACCTGAGGGACTGGTCTCTGTGACACCTAACTCAGAGTTCAGACGACCAAAAGCAGCTGTGTTCCACATGGTGTCTCATCCTCTACCAGGCTAGCCCAGGCTCATTCATATGGAGACAAGAAGGTTCCAGGAACCACAAGTGAGGACAAGCCCCGCCACGCAAGATCTTTTCAAGCCTCTTTTTGTGCCACATTTGCGAACATCTCATGGGCCAATGCAAGTCAGGTGGTTGAGCTCAGAGTCAGAGTGGGAGATCACTCAAAGTTATATAGCAAAGGAACGTGGATATAGGGAGAGAAAGAATTTAAGACCATTTCTGCAATTTACTACAATACCTATACCAGTATTTCCTTCCTTTCCCACACTATTATGGGGATGAATAACATTATCTGAACATAGTTTTTCTGATACAACTTTAGTGGACAGATGGAAATCCGGCTTTGGAATATTTTTCCCCAACAAGTACTTATAAGGCTAGATGTAGATTGATGGTATAGGTGACTGTGTTGGTAAGGAGTCTTGGACAATCCCCTTTTTAGAGGTCTAGACCACCCCCCACACACACCTGTACATACCATTTTGAAACAAGGCTGTTATTTTTATGGTCACTAGAGTGTCCCCTAAAGCAGCTGAAATCTGTAGGCAAGCCTGCCACACATGATAGAATGCCAGCTGCACCCAGCACAAGAGTGTCCAACCAAGAGACACCCAGGGTTGGACTCCAGCATGAACCCTGCTCACCAAGCTATGAAGCCTAGCGCATGAATGCAACAACCGGAGGGAAGACGAACTTGTTTTTATTTTGAAGTATCCTTTTTAAAAATAAAAGGACCACTTGCTGAACAAGTCAGGAGTTCTCAGATATGCCTCCACCCAGTTCTAATTCATCTTAATATGCACAAATGCACTGTATATGCTAGAAGAGTTCTGCCTGTAGACCTAAAATATAACTGTCTGGCTCTAGTTAATGATAACACGGTAGTGCAAGTGTAGACAATCCCTGAAATCAAACGTTGTAAGTAACTTTTAGCTACATATATTTAAAGGTTTAGGAGAATACTTGTGCATAGGCAGCCCAGCCCTGGAAAACTTGGCCTCTACACCTAAGCGGCCATATAAAAAAAAAGGCCACAACTCAACAAGAAAACAACCCAATTAAAAACATGGGCAAAGGACTTGAATAGACATTTCTCCAAAGAAAATATACAAATGGCCAATAAGTACATCAAAAGATGCCCAACATCGCTAGTCATTAGGCAAATGCAAATCAGAACCACAAAATCACACTCATTACGATGGCTACTATCAAAAAAACAAACAACAGAAAATAACAATGTTGGCAAGGATGTGGAGAAATTGGAACCCTTGTGCACTGTTGGTGGGAATGCAAAATGGTACAGCTGCTATGAAAAACAGTATGCTAGTTTCTCAAAAAATTAAACAGAGAATTACCATATGATCTAACAACTCCACGTCTAAATATATACCCAAAGAACTGAAAGCAAGGTCTCAAAGAGAAATTGGTAAACCCATGTTCATAGCAGCATTATTCACAATAGCCAAAAGGTGGAGGCAACCCAATTGTCCATTAACAGATGCGTGGGTAAACAAAATGTGATATATACATACAATGGAATATTATTCAGACTTAAAAAGGAAGGAAATTCTGACATATGCTATGACATGAGTGAACCTTGAGGATATTATGCTAAGTGAAATAAGCCAGTCACAAAAAGACAAAATACTGTATGATTCCACTTATATGAGGTACCTAGAGTAGTCAGATTTAGAGACAGAAAGTAGAAGGGTGGTTGCCAGGGGCTGGGGGAAGGCAGGAATGGGGAGTTGTTATCTAATGGGTATAGCTCAGTTTTATAAGATGAAAAGAGTTCTGGAGATTGGTTGCACAACAACGTGAAAGAACCTAACACTAATGAACAATACACTTAGAAATAATTAAGATGGTTAATTTATGTTATATGTATTTTACCATAATTTTTTTAAAAAGTGGCCATCTCTTCAGATAATGTGAAGAAACAGAACACCCAGTATGTGCCACTGACGAAGTGCTGTTTCTTGTTTCATGGGATAAGGCAGGATTCAGTTTTCTTAAGGACTCACAAGCAGTCAAAATGACTCCATCCCAAGCCCTACTCCTAAATTATATTTTTCCTCATCACTCCTTTCTTCCCACCACAAGAGGGAAACTTTCCCCTGGGACATCTCCAAGGATAAATTCTCACACTTACATTCATATCTTACCAATTCTCATTTCCCCTAAAACCCTGTCCAACAACCATTACCTATCCCCACTCAAAGAAGAGAGAAAAAAAGGATCCAGTTAAAAAACGGTGCAAACACCACATGATTTCACTCATATGTGGAAGATTAAACAAACACAGGGACAAAGAGGACAGGTTAGTCATTACCAGAAGGGAAGAGGGTGGGGGCGTGGGTATAAGGGGTAAAGGGGCACACATACACCTGAACTTTTACAATGTTATAAACTATTATGACCTCAATAAAATAATTTTTTAAAGGTGCAAATAAAAATCTAAGCAAACTTTTTAATTTAGGTTTAACGTCAAACTAGGTTACAATCTGCATATATATACATTATACATGTTCTTTTGTACATATCAAATACTATCTAATAAAGCATTTTAATCAAACTGTATTAAACATTTCATAGAAAGTTTCCTTGTTTTAGTCACTTCATTGCTATGAAAAATAAATTAAAAATTTTCACAAGTCAAATGATACTATAAATGCTCCAAAGAGGTTAAGATTCCTTGACAATTAATTATTATTTTGCAATCTTTTCTACATATTTTTGCCATAATTCACAAGTAGTTTGAATACCTCCTGCAAAGGTAATTAAGACACAGCCCTACACTATAGGTACTGACCTATAAGAGAACCAATGATTACAATATAATGTGAGATGAGCTCCAAGGTAGGTACAGGATGCTAAGGGAGTACAGAAGAGGGGCACCTAACTACTCAATCTAAGGCCAGTAGCTTCCAAGAGGAGAAAGAGTCTGAGCTGAGTCTTTATGAAGAGAAAAAGTTGGCCAGAAGAATGAAAAGTGGAGGTACTCGAGGCATAGAAACCTACAACATGTAAGAGCAGAGGGCGAGAAGTAGAGCAAATTACAGGTTCTGCAGGTAGTGTGGTATGATTGCACCACATGATTAAGTGTAAAGGAGTGGTGAGAGATGAGGCTGGAAAAGGAGGCATTAGCCAGGTCATGAGGAGTCTTGCTCAACATGCTAACGAGTTTAGAAATTTCTGGAAGACAACCAGAGTCTTTTAATAATTTTTATGAAAAAGAGTGACATGTTCACATTTGTATTTTAGAAATATAATGTAGGGCAATGTTAACACGCAACTGAGTTGCAAGTAAGAGGGAAGTAGTTTATAAGAGACCATCATAATCCAATCAGCAATTGCAAGAATCAAAACAAAAATCTTGGTATCAGAAAGGAAATGGACTCTGAGATTAAGAGATAAAAGCAATAGAATTTAGTGACTGATGATGTTGGGGAAGTGAAGGAGAAAAGTGAATCTGGAATGATGAGGGGTTTTGGTTTGCATTATGGTACCATTCATCGAGCCAAGGAATAATAAAAAAGGATCAGATGAAGCTGGTTTGGGACTGAAGGCTGAAGTCCAATAGGACATCAAGATAGATTTAGATGTCCATTAAACAATTAGAAAGAAGGATGTGGAAACTAGAAGAGAGGGTCAGACTAGAAATGCAGATTTGGAATCAACACTATACAGATAATAGCTGAAACTATGGAGAGTAGGGCTAACCCAGGAGGGGTGTTTAGAGTGAGAAGGAGGCTAAAGAGAAAACCCTCAGAGTATCAACATTTAACGGACAGGAAAAGAAGAAAGGATTCTGAAAGGGATTAAGAAATAAGTTAGGTGTTACATATCAAAAGACATTCCTAGGATTTTTTTAATATATGTATTTACTTCACATTCAGTTTTTCTTAAATAAAAACTTACACACACTGTTGATAAGTTTACAAAATACTGGGAGTTGACCGTGCCCCCAAAGAAGAAAACAACTTATTTTTAATGTTTCATTCTTTTTTAAAAAAGGGGGAGGGCCGGCCCTGTGGCTTGGTGGTTAAGTGCGCGCGCTGCGATGCTGGTGGCCCGGGTTCGGATCCCGGGTGCGCATCGAGGCACCACTTCTCCGTCCATCCTGAGGCCGAGTCCCACATACAGCAACTAGAAGGATGTGCAGCTATGACATACAACTATCTACTGGGGCTTTGGGGGGAAAAAAATAAAATAAAATAAAATAAAATAAATCTTTAAAAAAGGGGGAAAGGGAATAAGGATATAATCTAAGCCAAAATTCCATGAGCACATACAAGCAGTTTATTAAATTGACCTCTTACTTTTCAGTAGGACGAAGTTCGTGGATAACTGATAAGAGCTTTGACAGCACCTGTAGTTTTCCTGACTCTTCCTCAGTAAACATGAGTGGGTTGTAATCAGCAGGGAACACATTTATCAAGCCTTCATATAGACTTCTCTCTTCATTTTTATCCCAAGTTGAGCTGCATTCTTTTTCCTATTAAAAGGATGATTGTTAACACTCGTTCATGTTTGTTTTTTTAACTGGGAGAAGAAATGCTAAAATTATTTAAAAAAAAAAAAAAAGTGAAGATTTATAGCTACCAGAAAAGCCCAAGCTAATTTTATGTAAATCTTTAGAGGTCACAGTTTGGTCATTTTTGAAAAAAGTAGCATGCATCCTACTGAGTTAATTATAGAGCAGTTCTAATGCAGTCTGCTAACGCCTGCCACCTCACCCTACAGGCCGTGTGTAACTGGAGGGGAGGGGGTTGCAGAGAAAACAGAGGGCGAACAGTGCTACGAAATCTATCCTCTCCAAACCCTGAGATTTCTCATCATTGAGCCCTCTTTTTGTCTCTTCCTCCCCCTTCCCCTCCTGCTGTGACTTTCTCTCCTGATTTGCGGGCTTCACACAGCACCTCCCAGGTGATGCCCAAAAACAAGCACCCAGCTCACTCCATCTCATCAGTTCCTTCTGCCAGAAGGAACAATTCCACCAGCAAGTTAACACAAATCTATTCTTATAATAATATTTCTTGTTTACCCATAGTTTTTAGAATAATTTTATTCCAAAGAGATTATCACCATCTCTGAAATTCCCCTCCAAAACTGCCTAGCTGACATGTGAACACATAATTAGAGATTACATTTATTAATAACTACATCACTTTTTAGGTTAAATTTCTGGAACTGGCACTCTCTCCCACAATTACTAGATTTATTACTGTTTTCAAAACTTTGTTCAAACTACTCCCCCTGCCTGGAATGCTCCTTCATTTTTGTGCCCAATTATCCCAATCCTGTAAATACTTGAGGACCCAATGCATATTCTACCTGATTATTCTTAGCTCCTTTTTTTTGGCATTGAGTCTTAACCTTTATGGTTATACAGCACATTTCAGCTTTGACCTTATTTAATTGAGCAATTAATTATATACTTTTTTATACTTCCCTAATGTTTTTATGTGTGTTGTATTCCTTCTTTAATAATACTAGAAACATATTTAGAGCAGTGAATCATGCAGCGAAAAATGCTGGGCACAAAGTACTAATTTTAATTTGGCTTAGTATTAAAATATAGCAATATTTGGGTAAAGTCATTTGATTAAAAATACTTAGAATCCTAAGATATTTATATCACTGGGATATACAAGAGGAAAGAGATGGTTGCTGGCTGCTTCAGGTTAGGTTTCCTAAAATGGCTACACCTTGGCAAGGTCATCAAAGGACCACAGACTCAGGGTCTAGTCCACAGCTTTTCATGTTCAGAAACTTGAATATGCTTAAGCACTAGGGAAATAAATCATACTAACCAAATTAAGAGACTGAATAAATCAGAACACAAATTGACCTATAAATGAGACCTGCTTATTTAAAGCAATTGGTCTACACATTCTGACTTACGAAAGAAGGTCTATAGGGGAAGCCAAACCATTCATAGAAAGTTGTCTGGTCAATATTAAATTAAAATACGAGGGAGATGAGTGACCTTAATGCACACGTTCTTAGCCAGGAACATGTAATCAGAATCACTTGAGAAAGTTTTTCAAAATCCTCATGCCTGAGTTCTATTCTCATAGATTCTGAATCAGCCCATATGTGTTGAGGCCTAGACAAATGTATTGTAAAAGCTTTCCAGGAGATTATAATGTGTACTCCTAATTAAGAATCAAACAATAGGGGCTGGCCCTGCGGCTTAGTGGTTAAGTGCGCATGCTCTGCTACTGGCGGCCTGGGTTCGGATCCTGGGCGCGCACGAACACACAGCTTGTCCGGCCATGCTGAGGCAGCGTCCCACATACAGCAACCAGCAGGATGTGCAACTACGACACACAACTATATCTACTGGGGCTTTGGGGGAAAAATGGAAAGAAAAAAAAAAAAGAAGAGGATTGGCAATAGATGTTAGCTCAGGGCCGGTCTTCCTCAGCAAAAAGAGGAGGATTGGCATGGATGTTAGCTCAGGGCTGATTTTTCTCACCAAAAGAAAAAAATCAAACAATAGATAACATCTTTATGCTGTGACAACCTGATGCATCATCTCCATCGTAGAGATTTACCAGTTGGACTCCTCGTACTAGGTAATCAGGGTACTCTCTTCTCTAACTCTGTGCAATCCAGTGCCCTTAGGTTACGAGTTAAATTTTTATTGGTTACATTCCACTCACATTTCCTGAAGAAAAATCCATTACCTTGATTGAACTTGGAAAACAATCTAGTTTCAATAGAACACATTTATAAACCATTGCTTAAAGTTTACTTCTACATTTAGAAGACTCCTTTCAGCCATTTTATATTAATCCTTATTTGCTATGATGTTAGAGGAAAGGCTTCACTGAATAAGTCTCAGATTGCAAATTATGCACCCTATTTGAAGTCTGTAGTATCATATGACTACTACTAGTTAACTGGCACATTCTGGGCCATCATAAGGTCTTCCTTTTATGGAAGAATTTTTGGCATCTATTTTTGCCAGGCATCATGCCCAACGGGTTTAATTTTTTTTTTTTTTAATTTTTTGTGAGGAGATCAGCCCTGTGCTAACATCCGCCAATCCTCCTCTTTTTGCCGAGGAAGACGGCCCTGGGCTAACATCCGTGCCCATCCTCCTCCACTTTACATGGGACGCCGCCACAGCATGGCTTGCCAAAGCAGTGCGTCGCTGCGCGTCCGGGATCCGAACCAGCGAACCCCGGGCCGCCGCAGCAGAGCGCGCGCACCCAACCGCTTGCGCCACCAGGCCGGCCCCTCAACGGGTTTAATTTTTATCACTGTATATAGAATCTGTTTCTTAAAAAGTTGCTTAATAAACTGTTATAATCCTGTCTACTGCAGAATTACAGAAAGCTGACTTCTCCTATGATAAACTACGTAAACATAATCCATTGTAGGATAAACGTGGATAATTTTGGTACAAGACTCCATTTTCAAAGTATATAATTAATGATCTCAAGCATAATGTCGCACTCACAAGTTTTCTTTTGTTTTGTTTGCAAATTATGATTCTACTGTTTAAAGAAAAAATAAAAGAATAAAAATTGCTAAGGGTGAGTTGGGGATAACTCACCCTTATTAATCGTTACTGGGTATTAACAGTTACTGTGCAACTTCCATGGCCAGCCATTTTGCTAGGTTCTTTCCATACTATTTCATCAAATTGCCACAATAACATTATCAAGAAGTTATTACTGTCTCTGCTTTCCAGTTAGGAAAACTAAGGCTCGGGGCCGGCGCGGTGGCATAGCGGTTAAGTTCACGTGCTCCACTTTGGCGGACTGGGGTTTGTGGGTTCAGATCCTGGGCACAGACCTACACATCGCTCATCAAGCCACGCTGAGGCAGCATCCCACACAGAGGAACTAGAAGGACGTACAACTAAGATATACAACTATGTACTGGGGCTTTGGGGAGACAAAGGGGGGAAAAAAAAGAGGAAGATTGGCACAGATGTTAGCTCAGGGCCAATCTTCCCCCCCAAAAAAAGAAAAGAAAACTAAGGCTCACAGATGTAACTTGACTATCTGTGAAAGAACTAGTTAAAGACCCAGTAAGTAGCAGAGTGGGGACTGATACCTAGTTCCAACTCCAAAACAGAAAACTCTTACTATACTCCAAACTGCCTTGTATTCATTAAATATCGAAATTGTCAGCTCAACTATACAGCCATTAAAAATCATACTTGTAGAAGGTATCTAATTTGGGAAAATGTTCACAATTTATTCAGTGAAAAAAATAGTAGAATTTAAAATAATAAGCATAGCATCATTAAAATTGTTTCTCTAGAAAAAGATTATTTATGCATATCTCTGAGCCCCTATTTGCTCACCAAAAATGGGGATAGTAACAATAATAATTCCACAGAAGTTTCTGAAGAATAAATAAAATAATACTAGAAAAGTACTTAGTTTTTGGCACATGCTCAGTGCTTAATAAGTGTTAGCTAAGTATTATTTTGGTATCAGTTTTGGTATTAATAATAATAATGGTATTGCCAGGCCACAAGATAAAATTTTAAGGCTTTATCCCTTAAAATGGTATTTCCAGGCCACAAGATATACAAAATTTTAAGGCTTTTGATACACATTGCCAAACTATCCTCCAGTTGTACCAATTTACATTTTAACCAGTAGACGACTTTTATTTTCTTTGTGATTTTCTGAATTTTATAAATTTCATACAACAATCATGTATTACTTTTATAATAAGGAAAAAAATAAATTAATTTTTAATGGTAAATTTTGTATTTGTTAGCGCCAAACAAACAAAATCGACTGGATATATTAATATAAAACAGGAAGGGAGACCATGACAAAGTATGAGACAAGGTACCAAAGGGCATGGGGAACAAACTCTAGGAGGCAGAGCCTCAAGCCCACTTCATCCCTAGTTCAGCTCTGTGAATGCGGACAAGCTCTGAAGAGCAAGTAGAAGGCCGGATACACTTTACAACAGAATCATACTCAGAGGCTGCAGAGCTTTGGGAAAACCCACTAACGCAACCCCAGGGATTAGTCCAATCTGCCCTCTTAGACTCATATAACGTAGAACCCTCAGCTCATATCCCTGACAAAGTCTCACGTTCTACTTACCTTTATAGAGCTGAACAAAAGGCAGGGGTGATTGCATAGTTTTTTAAGAGCTCCAATACATATTAGATGAGGACTATTTTCCAACAACCCTTGAAGACAGAACCTGACAGCCTGAGAATTCAACAGCTTTCGATACAGTGCAATCTGTAGTGTTCCTGGTCGGCAGAAGACGACGTTCTCTATTTTAGGTGGAAGATATTTATTTACGACTTCTTGGGTTCTTCTAAGGATAAAGAGTCCAGTGAGGCAAGTAAGTTCAGCTGCTCTTCTCTCTCCTAACTCCTTTTCTTCCTAAGGAAAAATAGTAGACTTACAATAAAAATGTTATAAACCAAAAATACTTGCAGTTAAAATGAACATTAAACATTTTATAATGATAAACCATTTACTAATTACTTCCCTTCAGATCTTTTTTTAACAGAAGAAATTAAATACAAGTTTGGGATAGAAAAACCAACCATCATCTCTTTAAATGTGCAGCATAATCATTTTATTAAGTGAAGCCTCAGTCTCTTAATCCTTGTTTGTTTGGCTATTGCCACCATTGACAGCCATCAGAAATCAATAATCTACAAACTAAACTATTCTGAAAGTAAGCTTTCATGTGAGGACTGTAATGGTAAAGACTCTTAAAATCATCAGCAAAGAACTAATAAATTAGCAAATTGTTGGAAGAAAATATTTTGACAGGTTATTGATCCCAAAACTTAGCCTACAAGAAATTATTGGCACAAGGTACTGCTGATTCTTTCAAAATCATTACACATTATTCATTAAATAATAGTACATTTTTTAAGTCAAAATATGGTATGAATGAAATATATGTTTAAATTCTCTATACAGAATCTTTTGAGTGTACAGAACTTCAGTGAAGCTTAAATAAATCCCATAAGCACATATTGTTTCTACATGAATCAAAGAAAATTTCCCTTATATTTTAAAACTATTTTCAACTTTTGTTACAAAAGAAATAGGTTCACTGAAAAAAAGTCAGAAAATATAGTTAGGCAAAAATAAGAAAACAAAAACCAACTTTAATCAACCAGAAACAATGCTGTCAAGACTTTTATGTATATCTTCCAAGTCTTTTTTTTTTGCATAAATATGCAAATATACTTGATGTTTTATTTTTATTTGTAACAAAAACAGGATCTCAAACTACAAAGCTTCATGGGAACAAGAAACCAGCCAGTTTGGCTTATCACTGTACTCCCCAGGGTCTAGCACTTAGCATTTGGCCCACTTTTTAATATATAAGCATTGGGTAAATAAATGAATGTGATTTTATTTTTAAATAACATATCATGAACATTTTCCATGCTATTAAATATACGCATAAACCATTATTTTGTATAGTTCCTGGTTCATGGGAAATGTTCAATAAATATGTTTTGACTGATTATCCTATTTTATTAATTCTGAGATATACACTTTTTTATACTTTAACTTCTCTGAGATAGCATGTTTTCTTTAGTGGTACATAAAATGATGATGCACCCTAGAATTGGTAGTATCTTAGATTCAATGAAACATAGTGTCTAAACACGTAGATTCTAATTTAACCACTTTCCTACCTTTAGATATGTTTGTTTGTTTCCCATTAGTTTGTTTACTTCCTTTAGTTTGTTTCTAATTTTTTACCTTTACAGCTAAATCTTTAGCCACATCTATGACTATTTCTTTATAATAAATTCCTAAAAGTGGTATTGCCGGGCCACCAGATAAACACAGTTTTAAGGCTTTTGATACACATTGCTAAACTATCCTCCAGTCATACCAATTTATGTTCTGACCAGTAGAGGACAGTATTCTCATCTACACTTGCTATTACCAAATAAATCCCACCAACTAAAACATCAGTAGAAAAGTACAGAAGTTACTTCATGGTTGTTTTGGTTTACTTACCAGTAAAGACGAACATTTTTATATGTTTACTGTCATTTATAATTCTTTGTGAAGTGCCTATAAATTTTTAAAAACTGATGATGTCATTTTCTAAAATAAAGAATGCAAGAGGAGTTGAAAGGTTGTGGGAAAAATAAAGAATTCACTATACTAATTTAATTTTTCCTAAATTAAAATAATATCTAAGTTATAGATAATTTCCCAGACCTACTGCTCTTTTTTAACCTACTTATTAAAGTAAATTATACCTCAGAAGCAGAAGGTTGTCTGGATATAATGATGGGTTCTTCATATATTTTTCTATAAGATGACAAAGAGCCTAATATTCCTGGATTTACAAAATCAATTAATGCAAAAAATTCTTGGAGATCATTCTGAATTGGAGTACCTAAAGAAATAAAAGTGATAAGGGCAAGTCAGGTCTCTCTGTAATGCATGTAGTAAAGTGTACAAGCAAAGTCCCTAAAACTGAGACAGAGCAGCCAAATCAAGTTAAAAAAAATTAATAACCATATAAATGTTATCTCTGGTTTTAACTGTGCACTAAGTTCTTATTTAGTACAGCATAGTGGCTGAGTACAGGTGCTAGAGTCTGCCTGCTTGGGTTCAAACCCTAACTGCATCACTTACTCTCTGAGTAAACCTGAGCAAGTTTCTTACCCTACCTTTATCATCTGTAAAATAGGAATACATTAGTAGCTCAGAGGCTTGTGAGGATCAAGTGAGTTCATATACTAAGAACAGTGCATAAAGCACAATAAATGTTCCATAACTGTTAGTGATTCTTAACATTATTATAACTGTGTGGACTCTGGACAAGTTGCTTAAGCTCTTTCAGTTAAATTCAGGATTTTTTTCACTTATAAAAGTGGAAAGATAAGTTCCCAGGGGTATTACAATGAAAAGTAGAGACAATGTATGTGAAGTGCCCGGCACAGTGCCTGACATTTAGTAGACACTCAGTGAATGGCACCTATTATTATTACCTTTCAAAGTTATCAGATCAAATTGGGATCTTCACTCATCCTAAAGGTTAGTGAAGACACAGACAGTAATGGATTAATATATCCAGCATATATTACATACTCAATGACTTCTGGCTAATTAATTTTCAAAGAAATACTAGCATGTTTCAATAATTATAATAATACCAAATGAACATATAAATCAGCATAGTAGAACAGTACAATTTCAGATGAGTTTCAAATAACAGACTAGAAAAAGTTGTCTAAAGATGTAAATAATACAAGAAGTAAATAAAAATGCACTTATTTCATTAACATAGACAACATGAATTTTACAATGTCAAGGAATTTAATGATACTTGCCTCAAAATTAAATGGGACAACCCCAGGTTGGACTAACGCTTACTAATTTGTGTGTGTGTGTGTGTGTGAGGAAGATCAGCCCTGAGCTAACATCCATGCCAATCCTCCTCTTTTTGCTGAGGAAGACTGGCCCTGGGCTAACATCTGTGCCCATCTTCCTCCACTTCATATGGGATGCCGCCACAGCATGGCCTGACAAGCAGTGCATCAGTCCATGTCTGGGATCTGAACCCGGGCTGCCAGCAGCGGAGCGTGCGCACTTAACTGTTACGCCATGGGGCCAGCCCCCACTTACTAATTTTTTTAACACATCTAGTCAGTTCTAAATTTTTAGACACATCATAAAGAGTTGTTGCTAGTGCTGTCTGGTGGATTCCGACTCCTAGCGACCCTGTGTACAGCAGAGCAGAACCCTGCCCAGCCTTTTTGCACCATCCTCTCAGCTTTCAGCACTATATTAGACAATGCTCTGCTGCTATTCATAGGGTTTTCATGGCCAATTTTTTTGGAAGTGAGTAGCCAGGTCCAGAGTTAGAGAAAATATATTTATTTGATAGGCATTTTGTTAAGCCTTTAAAAGAATATCCACGACAATGACTAATAAAGATGGGGGAATGGGAAAAGCAAGAAGGAAAGAGGGGAAAGAAAGGTATAAGCATCATTGTGGTTGGCTTCCAGACATTCTCCTAACCCCAAATGATTAATCCAAGCTAATTATGGTAGTCCTATCCTCTTTACCAATGACTGATGTGGGAAAGAGTTTGTGTCTTAGACTGGGTTCCCAGAAGCAGAGCCTGAGATAAGGATTAGGCTGCACATGATTTACAGAGGGAGTACTCTCAGGAGAAAGGGAATAATAGAATCAGAAAATGCAGGGGAAGAAACTAACAAGGATGTCCTCAGTTATAATGTAGCTTGAGCTAAATTACAAGGAGCCTTAGAGCATAAATTGCACCATAAAGTTGGTCCTAAAATTACCTTGAGTCAAGAGGGCTGGCATTTTTTTTACTTACTCTTATATATGAGTCAATCATTGACCAAGCTGCAGGGGAGAGAAGAAGCTCTCATTCAACCAAGGATAATTCTCCAGAAAAGGCAGGAGTTATGAGTTGTTTACTCAATAGTCCCACAGCTAAGGGATAGGTGCAACAGCCCAGGAAAGAGGAGTTAAGAAGGGCACCAAAAGTTTCCACCAACAGCATGTAACCTGTCCTGTCCAGTGAGACACACGAAGAACTCAGGGAGGGCCCCTGGGAAAGTTTCCTCACTCTTAAAGACGGAGAAACAGAAAGAGCCAGTCCCTGTTCTCCTATGGATATCACCACATCTAGATGTGATGTCTGGAAATGCTGAGGTCGCCTGCCATTAGCCTGATAATGAAGTCAACACCAAACATGGCACAACAGAGGACAAAAAGAATGAGAATCCTGGAAGACATTGTTGAGCCGCTGTATCACCACCCAGGGAGCCTGCCCTGGCTCTAGACTTCCAGCTACGGGGGAGAAGAAGCACATTTGATGCAGATATCTGTTACTGGCACCTGAAATCACCCGAACTGATACACAAGGGAAAGAGGCAGAAGCAAAACTGGAAAAAGAAGAAAGGCAGAACACAGGAGGAGACAAGAAAAGGGATTTAGGGCAGAAAATAAGAAGGAAAAAGAGTAAAGAAGGAAAAAAAAGAAGAGAAGGGGCACGTGGCTCCAAGAAAGCCAATCCACTAGCACAGTGTCATTCTGAGAATGTGTCACAAATGTTGTCTGGAGACGGTTTAGTCCCCCGTTCACTGCTCCTAGTACTCCTTTCTAACTCTAGACTAGGTGGAACCTGTAGAAAAAGCTAAATAATTTAACACTAATAAAAGTTGGGAGCAATGTCCTGTGACAGGAAAAAAGGAAACACTAAAGACTGTCAAGTGAAGTTGGTGTGCTTACTACAACTATTTTCAGGGCTATGGAAGAGAAACTTCTAGGGAAATGGAAAGAATTCTTTCTCTTTCCCTACCACCATCCCAGGGAAAAAAAGCTTTTTCTTTGTTTTATTGCTTACTTTTTAACAAATCTACCACACAACCCAAGTAATGCAATACCACCAATAACCTACACCTATATCTTCCTCCATTACCTCCATAAAAAGCTCTAAGAGCTCTTTATACATATTCATACATATATTTTTCCTTTAGATCCTATAATTCCACTTCTAGGAATCTATACAGAAAAAGTATATGCTTGTAGATATTCATCACCACATTAGTTTTCAAGATTATGCAATATCATAGGGAAATGTTTATATTCAGTGTATTTTGATGTGTATATGTATGTAAATGAATAAAGATATATTTTGTATGTATATATAAAGAATAAAGAAATATGCATGCATGTTCTCTGTGTGTGTATGAATAATGAAACACGCCAAAATGCTAACAGTTAATTAAGAAAGTGAGATTGGAGAATGATTTCCATTCTTTAGTTTCTAAATATGCTATAATATAGCAATGTGTATGTGTGTGTGGTGTGTATTTTTAACCTTCAATCTTTAATATGAAGCTTGCTTCAAATTTCAGATTTCTCTTTTTTATAACATAATGAAAGGACATCTAACATCTTTTACTAATCACTTGCCCCTTGTTATGGACTGAATTGTGTCCCCTCAAAATTCATATGTTGAAGCCCTAACTCCCAATGTGACTGTATTTGGAGATAGAGTTTTTAAGGAGGTACTTAGGGTTAAAGGGGGTCATAAGAGTGGGGCCCTAATCCAATATGACTGGGGTCCTTCTGAGAGAAAGACACCAGGGATGTGCACATACAGAGGACAGGCCATGAGAGGACACAGCCAGAAGATCGCCACCTGCAAGCCAAGGAGAGAGGCCTCAGGAGAAACCAAACCTGCTGACACCTTGATATTGGACTTCCAGCCTCCAGAACTGTGAGAGAATAAGTCTCTGTTGTTTAAGAAATTTACCACCCAGTCTGTGGTATTTTGTTATGGCAGCTCTAAGTCTAATACACCTCTACTAGTCAGATTGAATCCTAACCAGTTTCCAGTAAATATTAACTAAACGTTCTCCACAGCACTAGACTAGATAATACCAGGAAACAAAATGACAATTACTTTCATTTGACTTTCAGAGAGTTTCTGCGCACCTATCATACGCATAGCACTGTATATACTCATGTACAAAATGTCCATAATAAGAGACAAATCATCTTGGGAGTAAAATATCCCGCCATCATAAAAAAGAATTCATTCAGGCAATTCTAAGGAGACAAAAACCAACTACGAGTATTTCTAAATCTAAGAGGTTAGTTAGTGCTGGTTTGTACCTAGATTCACACTCAGCAGGCAGCAGTGACAAGGACGAGAAAGCAGAAGCGAGCTGAAGACGACAAAGTAAGACAGAAGGGCAACGCCAACTCTTCTACTGACACTATCTCACTAGTCACCATCACGACATTCCTTTTGAATTAAGGCCCAGAATTATTTTCAACTGCAAATATTAAATTTAATTTAGAATGCTAATTGAATTAGTATTTGCTTATAATTGAAAATATTAGTAAAACTGTCCATTTTAGCTAAAGAAAATTATCTTATTTTTGAATAGAAGAAAATCTATTTTTATTCCTCACCTTCAGTACTTTTCAGTAACCTTCACTTCCCAGTCTGCTTTCTTATTTCTTTTTCTTCCCCTTCTAATGCCAACCTTTTTAACTCCATAACTGTTACCACTCTTTAAGTACGCAATATTCATGCCACATTGAGCAGTAAAAAGAAAGAGCCTCTGCTCTTCTCCTCCAACATAGTAAAAATAAATTTAGCTAAATCTTTTTTTCCATTGCTTTTCTGGCCCCAAGATCTCAAAATCAAAGGCTAGTCAAGAAGTTTCAACTGCAGCTTTGGGATCAGTATAAAGAATTCACTTAGTTCCCCAAACAGCCAAGGATATAAAAATCACCTAGATTACATTTTCCATTTCCCCAACTCATTTTTTTCTTTAAAAATGGCTTTTCATAAATATGCAAAGCCGTTTTTTCTATTCTCTGGTTTCCACATCACTAGTATTACTGACAAACCTTTGTTGGGCATCTACTAAATCTTGGGGATATAAATAACTATGAGATTTGACTCCTGCCCTTTTTATCTTTATTATCTTTAAGTAACTAAATGTGAAGAATGTAAAGGTCATTTAAACTTCTCAAAATCATTTTTAAAAAGCACATATAGTTTTAAAAATTACACTTAGTAATGGTTAATACAATCCTATACAAATTGGAAGTCAAAATGACCATGAATTACTTCAAGATGAGTACCCTCCCCATTCCAACTCAATGAGAACAGAATAGGGGGAGTTTCCTCTGTTGCTCTAAGGCACACTTCTACCCTAGAGATGTGGACTGGAGGGACAAGCTGTTGGTGACACCCCTTGTCTCTCTCCAGTTTAACTTCAGAGAAGAGCTCAGAAATGCATAAAGGACACTGAATGACAAAATGACACAAAAGATCATGATATAATAAGAATAATCATGCCCTGCCCATTCCTTCCAAAAGCATTAAAGACAGCAGGGAAATGAAGCCTCAAGAAGAAAAGGGAGGGGTCGTAAATATTAGTAACAAATACAACTCTCTTCTTTCTGCTGCTGCCAGAAGGGCAAATCGGAAGGGCCACACGAGACCCAAGTGAGGTGTGGGAGAAAAGCTACACTGAGCTACTCAGGCATGATTCTTGTCTTGGCCTTAAGCTATAAAGGAGTGGGTAGAAAAGGATTCTTGTATTGACACATGGTCCATCCCACCTTTCCAGACAGTGTGGGCCAGAAGCTTTGGCCAGCAATAAACTATGTGCATGCAGCACACACAGAGAAAAATAACGGATATTTATATTAAACACTTACCATGTGTCAGGTCGTCTTCCAAGAATTTTACACGGATCAATTCGTTTGACCCTCACAACAACTTTAACAAGTAGATAGTATTATTATCCCTATTTCACAGATAAGGAAATTGAGGCACAGAGAAGTTAAATAACTTGCGCAAAGTTGCACAGCTGTAAATGTCAGACTTGGGAACCAAGCACAGGCAGTTTAGCCCCATATCCTACATTCTTTACCATGACACCATTGTGATTATTCCTCAAAAAATCCAAAATCTGGGTTGTAGAAAATTACATAGGGATTTCATAATGCAGAATCCTACCAAGACTCGGTTAACACTGAGTTAGTTATTAGTATGAATTCCACCCAACACCACCAATTCTTTGGATGCCAAGCATCATATTACAAGTCTTATGTTTACCAGGCAAAATTCCATCATATCTTCCCAAAAGTAAATACTGACCAGTTAGAATTATTCTTTTCTCACAAGAGAGGCTAATGAGGGCTGTAGTTGTCTTAATGGCACTGTTCTTCAAACGATGGCCTTCATCACAGATTAGAAGATCAAATTTTATATTCTTAATTTGATCCAGGGAACGAAGTAACATTTCATAACTGATGATAAGAACAGAATAAAATGAAGATTTGGTGAATTCTTCTATTTTGTGGTCCTAAAAAAAAAAGATAATATTTAACAAATCATGGATAGAAACTGTATGAAATCAAATTTAAGCAGCATATTCCTGACAACCATTAATCAAGTATTAGAATATGTTAACTCACAACCAAATTGTAAGCCAAGATTCCATTTTTCTGCAAAGGAGTTGGAGAGTTACATACACTTAAAAAACTGCTACATAGAGAGTAAAAACAGCAGTATTGATTTGAAAAGCAAGAGATTTAGAAAATAATGAAGGCTAAGTTTTTAAAAGTCTCTTACCTGATCAACAGTAAATATCTTGATCCTTTCACTTCCTAGCCATTTTTGAAATTCTTTCCTCCAATTATTCACCAAGCTTCCAGGTGTGACAATAAGTGTCTTCTTTATTACCGGCTTGCCTCCATAGGGTCCCTGACACTGGAGAGTCCAGATGAGCGAAATACATTGCAATGTTTTCCCTAAACCCATTTCATCAGCAAGAATAGCTCCACATCTGCCATTCACTCTGTTAGAAATAATTATACTTCCTTTAATCACAATAGGAAAATGTTTTATGCCCCTAATATCGTCACTTATTAGTCAAGAACCAAAAGCTGATATTTTGTAATTAGGACAAATTCTATCCCCCACTAAATACTTTTTCTAGCTTTGCATTCAGCTGAATTAAAACATATCTCTCTTTTGCATCTGTGATAATTATATTCATTATATATTTATTGTTAACTAAATTACTAAATCAAATCTGAAACTAGAGAGTTGAATCTAAATCATCTGTTACTATCATACATATATATTTAGAGAGACTAAAAATGAATCCCAATTTTATATCTATATTTGAATAATTTAACTATAACTGTGCTTCTCAGCACTAACAGTTGAGCAATTTTTATCAGTTTCAGTACGAGATATCAAAACAGTTTAAAATATACAGTCATCCGCCACATAACGACATTCTGGTCAACGACAGACCACATCTACGATGGTGGTCCCATAAAATTACAACGAAGCTGAGAAGCTGAGAAATCCCTATCGCCTGGTGACATCACAGCCGTCATAACGTCCTAGCACAACATATCACTCACGTGTTTGTGGCGACACTGGGCAAACAAACCTACTGCACTGTCAGTCATATAAAAGTATTGGGTTAAAAACAGAAGAAAGTTTATAGAATAAGGGTATAAAGAAAGAAAATATTTTTGTACAGCTGTACAACATGTTTGTGTTTTACACTGTGTAATTACAAGAGTCAAAAATTTAAAAAATCAAAAAGTTTATAAAGTAAAAATAGTTACAGTAAGCTAAGGTTAATTTATTATTGAAGAAAGATAAAATTATTTTATAAATGTAGTGTAGCCTAAGTGTACAGTGTTTATAAGTCTACAGGAGTGTCCAGTGATGTCCTGGGCCTTCACATTCACCCACCACTCACTCACTGACTCACCCAGAGCAACCTCCAGTCCTGGAAGCTCCATGCATGGTAAGTGCCTATACAGGTGGACCATTTTTTATCACTAAACCATATTTTTACTGCACCTTGTCTTTGTTTACATATACAAATACTTACCGTTGTGTTATAATTGTCTACAGTATTCAGTACAGTGACATGCTGTGCAGGTTTGTAGTCTAGGAGCAATAGGCTCTACCATACAGCCCAGGTGTGTAGTAGGCTGTACTGTCTAGGTTTGTGTAAGTACACTCTATGACGTTCGCACAACAACGAAATCACCTAACAACAAATTTCTCAGACCGTACCCCCGTTGTTAAGTGACGCATGACTGTATTGTAATGTTAACCAGAAAGATCTACTGAGCTGTATTTATGATTCTCTGGCAATAAATGAAGTCCTCAACCAAAATAGCTCCCTGCACTGTAAGAAAAATTAAACACTAAATACTTGATCTAATACACCTAATTTGGTAAAAATCTTATTCTACAAACCCACTTGGTTAATGCAATTTAAAATTAAATATTATAAGGAATATTATTACGTGGTATTTTTATACCACTTTGTCGCTTTTTAAGCTCTTTGATAGTCATGTATTTTAGATTTATTTGAAAAGAAAACTCTTTCTAAGCATAATACATCTGTGAGACGAAAAGTTTAAGGTGCTATTTTTTTCTAATTATCCATTAACTAAATATGCTACTAAAAGTAACAAACAAGACTTGTCCATGTACACCTAAAATGATCCCACATACCACCAGTGGAGAGCATATCACAGATTAGGAAACACTGCTCTAAGTTCTGGGAGTTTGAATGATTTTATGCAAGGGAATGCCATGTTCAGAACGGTTTTTCAGAAAAATAAAGCTGCTGGCTCTCGATAAGCAGAATGGATTTGAGGAGCATCAGAAGCACATACACAAGTTAGGAGCCATCGCAATAGTCCAGATAAAATGTAATTTTATGACATCAGTTACCAGAACTGCTGCAGTGAGGCGTCAGAAAAGATTAGCAATCAAATGATATTTAGGAGATAAAAATAATTAAAAGTTCAGATTTGATTAGACTGAGAAGGTGAGAGAGAAGAAATCCAAGATGATTCCCAGACCAACTAAGATCAGATCCCCAAAAAGAAGAGCAGACTTGAGAGAGAAGATGAGTCTAGAAAGTTTCTAGGAGATAGTATTCCCTTAAGCTGTCATCATTCAAGGGGTTCTTAGAGTTTGGGGGAATTTACATTCCCAATTCTCTATTAAATGACCAATTTAAAAACCAAGGGTCTATGCACTAAAAACAAAACAAAAAAGAAACTGAAGGAAACAGACCAACATGTTAGCAAGGACCTCTGATTCTTTTTTATCTCCTTTGTCTGGGACGTGTATGCGCGTGTGTATGTGTGTCTTCTAAAGTATCTTTGAGAGGAGACGAAAATTCTTTAAGAAAATTCCATTTTAAAAAGGGGGAAGGGGACTTTCTTTTTAAGTAGAAGTGAGATAAGAGGAAAACCTTTCTTCCAAAATCCTCATAAGTAGAATTAAATATTTCTTCCATTTTGCCCCTATAACCCTTTATCATATCCATAGTGAGCTCTTATTGTACCACGTTAAGGTTGACTGTATCTGTTTCCTCAAACATTTATAAGCTACTTAAGAGTCAGGACCATGGTCCTAGCTCATGTATGCCCAGCTCCCAGCAGGATATCTGGCACATGGCATCCTTCAAGAACCGCTTTTGAAATAAATGCACACATTAAGTACTATTTACCATTCCTACCAACTAAAATTCATGATGTACCCACTAAGACTCATTCAGGTTCTTCCTAGAAAACCATTATGTTACAGGTTAAATTAAAACTCAGATTAGACTAAACAAATGATTTATTTTCCTACCTCATTCCCATCACACATTCATAAAGGAATATGATTCCTTCTTTCTGATGTGGTCGAAGATGACGTACAAGGTGAGGATCTATCACTACATCCACAATAGCAAAACAGTTCTTATTGAACATCCACTGGTGATTATCGTCTGGTCGTAGCATAACAAGGGAATCTTAAGAAAAAAGTAAAAGTATAATTATAAATGTATTACAATTTCACTTTGTCAGCAACTACATTATCTTGCTTTAATTACTTATAAGAGGGGGCCGGCCCCGTGGCTTAGTGGTTAAGTGCGCATGCTCTGCTACTGGTGGCCCGGGTTCGGATCTCGGGCGCTCACGGACGCACAGCTTGTCCCGCCAAGCTGAGGCGGCGTCCCACATACAGCAACTAGAAGGATGTGCAACTATGACATACAACTATCTACTGGGGCCTTGGAGAGAAAAAGGGAAAAAAAGGAGGAGGATTGGCAATAGATGTTAGCTCAGGGCTGGTCTTCCTCAGCAAAAAGAGAAGGACTGGCATGGATGTTAGCACACAGCTGATCTTCCTCACAAAAAATAAATAAATAATTACTTATAAGATAGAACCATGTGCCATCGTTTCTGGCAAAAAAAATTCAAAATTTAGTAACACTAATGCTAAGCAAATGTACAAAATTAAAAAATAAAATCTCATGCCTTATTGATGTAAGATTTCATGAAAAGAATTACAAAGGGCTTTCCAAACTTCATATGCCCGAAAGTGCTTCAAAACCACTGAAACTCACTATTGTCTAACAAGGAATTCAGTAAGCTGTAACACTTAACAATTCAGTCTTCACAGCAAAGAGAACTATTTCAAACTGAAAGCAGTGGTTGGAATTTTGCCAAGATGCACTTGGTAATACTCACAGTTTCTTGTTCTGGAAAAGTTCCCTAAATTTAACATAAAGACTCCCTTTATTTTTAGTCCTGTACATACTAACAATGACCATTACTCCTACTAATCACAAGAACTGAGAAAGGATGACAAATTTTCCATTGACTTTGCCATCAGTATTTACCTAAAGTTAATTACTACGTTCATAAATGTCAAATTCATGAATCCTTGCAAAGCAGCATGAAGTAACCATCAAATAATAATGTAATTCTTTAGAAGTATGCTAATAATTTAAAAGATTTATTAACATATCACCAAAATATACAAAATAAAATATAACTAGAAAGCAGGTCTCAACTGATAAATCTGAAGTCAGATAATAAACTCATCAATATTATTTTTTGGAAATATTTGTATGTCCACATCCTGGTTAAAAAATGAAATAGATTTTAAAGATAAATAAAAATTTTTAAAAAGGACAAATTGAATGAGAAGGGGAGATAAAAAATAGGTTCCAGTAGATTAAATAAATATCCATCAATGTGGAAATAGTTACAGGAATGAGAGTTTGGTCATGTTCACCATTAGCAATCACCTACAGGAAAGTTTTCTGTGGATCCTCCTAGGTTTCTGAGCAACTAAAAGAAACTCTCATTTTTTAGGTCAATTCCTGGCAGGTAGGGGATTAGGGAGTAAAAATGGAAACTTAGCCCTTGGCTTTCCTCTGCATCCCAGTAGCAAAGCAAGAGTGTATTCCTTGTGAATTTCCAACCAAGAAATGGCCCCATTTTTTCTGTCTTTTAAAAAGGACAAAGGGGAAGAAACAGAAGATAGAGGTGAAGATCATATAGTGCTCAAGCAAGAAGGACCATAGGATCTATAAATCATCTAACAAAGTGCCCATCTTCAAGAAAGATAAAACCTAAAGCACCATGATAATGAGACACCAGTTGCAATTTTAAGATGCCCCTCTACCTTCACAATCATGAGACATCATTTAACACTAACAAAATCTCTCAGGCTTTAGTTTAAGTCTACAATTTAATTCTACCCTTGGCAAGATAAAATAAATAAATGAGAATAAGCAACCAGTTACTATTTACACAAAGGGCTTTCATCCATACACACAAACATACACACACGTACACTTACATAGAAATTATCACAGTAAAATTCTTCATTCATTCAGTCAACAAATATTTATTGCACGCAGTCTATACTAGGTACTTTAAGTCTCTACAGTAGTTATTAGAAGCCACATTTTACACATGAGGAAAAACATTAGTGAGGTGACCACCCCACAAGGTCAAAGAACCAGTTAGTTCAGTGGCAAACCAGGATTATAACTCAGGTCTTTGAATAAGCACAGTATTCTTTTCAGTTCCCCACAGCCCTCTATTATGTAATAGGAAGGCAAAGAGAATAAAGGAGAGAAGGAAGCTTGTTAAAAGAGCTGGTGGGACATACAAAATATTTAGATAAAGAGAAAAATCAGAAGCAAAGCTTCCACTCTCTATATTTCAATTAAGTCTCAGATAAGCTCAAATAAAGCTAGGAATTTTTAATTTGGGGTTTTTATTCCAATTATGCCAATAACTGTTTGAATTTAGGCAAGTCAGTTCATCTTTCTGGGCCTCGGTTTCCTCAAGTGCAAAGTGAAGGACTGATCTAAATGATCTCAAAGGCCCTTTTATTTCAAAAATTCTGTTTCCATAATATCTGCGAGAGGGGAAAATAATTATGTTACTTTATATACTTTTATTTTACTACTATTATGAAAGAAGCCTACTCTATTCTCCAACTGCCACATCCACTACACTATAATTCACATTTACTTCTCTTATCCTCACCACATAAGAAGCTCTCTGATGACAATTTTACATCTGGGCCCAATGCAAAAAAGGGACTCAAGAAATGCTTGTTGAGTGAATAATCAAATAAAAAAAAATAATAGTCAAAAACAGATGAGGTTTCATTTTTTAACGTGATTTTTAAATTAAATTCATTAATGTGAAAATTAACTGACTGACTTGAATTCTCACAAGTAAAATTTGAAGTCTTTACATGACTTCTCACCATTCAATATTGTAATACACTAACGCATGTGATCAAGGCATATAGTCTTCAAAACAGAAGTATAAACATAATCCTGATTCATGAATTAACTAATTTTTCTCCTTACTAAAGATGTCAGATTTTATCCAAAATCATACGTATATATGAATGTATACATCTAAAATCTGTGTATTTTTCTTTCAACTCATGTATAGTATTTTGATTACTGTTTCTTGGAATTATGCATTTACTTATGAAATTCCAAAACTATTTTGTTATTCAACTTCAATATTATCCCTTATGTCAGATTGTATATCTGAAGAATAATATATACTTTCACCTGGAAACTTTAAAAGAAAATTTAAATTCACATAACAAAAAACTTCTGACAGTAAAAACAGAATACTCAAATTATTTTTTAAGTCTTACTTGGTGCATATGGATCATGGCGTGGTTTGCAATTTTGGAAACTATTCTGTCTATTTTCCTTTGAACTTGGTTTACAGACACTTTTTAAAGGGTTAGAGAAACACTTCTTGATAGTCTGAGAAAAACTTGAGATGGCAGGACTTTTTCCTCCAAGTTGAAAACATCTCCCACTGCTGAAATCATCTGGAGAAATTACACCCATGACTTCTATTTCTTTTCCACCAATCATCATTGTTTGACCCTCTTCGATCTTTTCAAGCTCTTTGAATTTGTATCCAATGCCTTTAAATTGAGAATGAAGAAAGTTAATTTAATTTATTAACACTCTAAGATGACTTAGTGATACCATAGTCACCTTCCCATAACTGTACAGAATAAAAACTGTGCTTTGAATGCAAACAGACTTGTATAATCTATTAGCCAGAATGAAAACACAATTTATCATTTTAGTAAAAAAAACAAAAACAAAAAAACACTAAAAAATCAGAATAAGTGATAATATTACTATAAAAATTAGCCAAGTTTTAGAGAAAGCAAGGCTTTTTTTAATTATTGAAAACATAGCCTATTGTACTCTTAGTTTTACCGTCTCTCTCTGTAGAAAATCAAGCCAAGAAAAGAGTTTGGTAGGTTATGTGGATCCTCCTTTCTTGTGAACAAACTAGAGATACACTACGGCATGTCTATTTCCACTTAGAAACAGCTGGAAATGTGAAGGAGAACTAGCAATAAAAGCAACCGCCAGCACAGCCAGCACCGTACTGCTCCACACGGGACACAAAGCGCAAACAGCGGTGGCGAGAGGCCACTGATAGTCCAAGCTCCAGCTGTTCAACAGAAAGTGGGATACTTGATAATATCAAGCTTGTTTGAATTATTATTAATTCAGTGGACATTTATTAAGTGTTGCCATGTGCGAGATGCTGATGGAATATAAATATGAATAAGTCATCACAGTCTGCTCAAAATGAGCTCATGAACCAGACAGAGAGATAGAATTTTAGACTTCTATGCCTGTCTACAGTACGTGTATGGTTATTGTGCCATTACGGGGTGCAAGAACTGTGTGTACAATAAACCATAAACCTATTTAAGTCTCTAAAACATAAAAAATAGGGGCTGGCCCGGTGGCGTGGTGGTTAAGTTCGTGTGTTCCGCTTCGGTGGCCTGGGGTTTGCAGGTTCGGATCCCAGGCACACACATACGCACCACTTATCAAGCCATGCTGTGGTGGCATCCCATATACAAAATAGAGGAAGAGGGGCACAAATGTTAGCTCAGGGCCAATCTTCTTCAACAAAAAGAGGAAGATTGGCAATGGATGTTAGCTCATGGCCAATCTTGCTCACCAAAAAAAAAATAATTAATAAAGAAAGAAAGAAAGAGACTCACATTTTAGAAACTGTGACCTGGGGCTGGCCTGGTGGCGCAAGCGGTTAGGTGCGTGCGCTCTGCTGTGGCGGCCCGGGGTTCGCAGGTTCGGATCCCAGGTGCACACTGACGGACCACTTGGCAAGCCATGCTGTGTCGGCCTCCCACATAAAGTGGAGGAAGATGGGCACGGATATTAGCCCAGGGCCAGTCTTCCTCAGCAACAAAGAGGAGGATTGGCGGATGTTAGCTCAGGGCCAATCTTCTTCACAAAAAAAAAAAAAGGAGAAAAGAAAATGTGACCTTTTTAAACCAGTTGGAAATTGCTACAACTTGCCCTATTAAAACTGGGCTAAAATTTACAATCTGTGCAAACTGGTAACTAATATGTAGTCAAATTATTTATGATGGAGCCCTTTTTAATTTTAATGCTCTGATATAGGAAGAAATTCCTTAGCTGGTGTTCCTAAATGCCAAAGACCCATGGCTCCATTCTCTAAACTATCTCACTTCAACAGTAATCTTAACCTCTCCACATTAATGAAGATTATAGTTTTATCTTCATATAGAATCCAATTGCTGTTAATCTCAGTTTTATATGGAAATGAGAGATAAGAATAAACTTAATTTTGAGGCATCTTTAGAAGTCTCATTTCACTTTGATCCATAGTGATGCCTCTCTTCTTAATCCCTCTAAACACTGAGCATGATACTGTATATAAAGTAGTTGCTCAATATTTTTATAATAAAAAAATTCTATTGCAGATAATTCCATTCAGCCTCACTGCCCTCACCCACTACATGCCTAAAACACTGAAGTAGTTTTAGTTCTCTCCTGCCTTTGTTCCTTTGCACATGCTGTTCTCTCTTGCAATGCCACTTCCTCATACCCTATAAAACTATTCATTCCTCAAATATTCCCTTAAACAGTAATTCCTATGAAGATTTCCCCTTGTCTTCTAGGCAGACTTAAATGGTCCTCCCATGCTCCTACTGCCCTTAGCAAAAATTCCCAGTGAAACAATTATCTTAGCACTTCCTATTTATCAGCTGCATTGCCCTGTCCCTACTAAACTATAAACTATATCCATGTATGAATGTTTACTCCTAGCATAATTCCTGGCATAACAGTTACTGAAAACTATAAACTATGATACTTTCAAATGAATGAACATGTAGAACAGATTTTATAATTATGGGCCACACTCAAAATTGAACAATAAAAGACACTGCAAAAAAAACCATGGTTGGTGTTATACATTCTGAATTTGTGGGCTAACTTGTACAAATCATGCTGGCAACATTTTATAGTGGAAATAATGGTAACCTCCAATCCAGATGTACTAATCTAGGTCATGCCTAGCCATTCATTATCTCCTTGCTTTTTTCCAATTTTTATTGGGTATCATTGAAGTTAAATATCATTCCACTCCTGATATCAACACCTTGTTAACTTTTAATCACTTGGCATTCTGCAAAAGAAAAAAGATGAAAAAGCACACCAAGACAAACTGCTTAATCTCAAAAAATGCCAAAATTACTGTATATACCTGTCTGACCATTACGTTTCTGGAGATAATAAAACCATGGAATGAGATTCGTCTCACTAAGCTAGTATATATAAGACTGTCAGACTGACTATCTGAGATAATTTTATGTTTGTTTTTTTTTGTGAGGTAGATCGGCCCTGAGCTAACATCAATTGCCAATTTTTCTCTTTTTTTTTTGCTGAGGAAGATTAGCTCTGAGCTAACATCTGTGCCCACCTTCCTCTATTTTGTATATGGGATGCCACCACAGCATGGCTCGATGAGCAGTGCATAGGTCCGCGCCCAGGCTCCAAACCTGCAAACCCCAGGCCGCCAAAGTGGAGCTCGTGAACTTAACCACTATGCCACTGGGCCAGCCTCGGATAATTTTATGTTTATGAGATAATTTAGACATGAAAGTCAATTAAAGAACATCTTACTCTATACTTTTACAGAACCCAATTATATTTCAATTATGTAACCAGAGATATATACTAATTTTAGGCCAAATAATAAACATCAGTTAATATCACAATACCTCTTCCAATGTCTTTGCCGTCCAAATTCTTTAATGTAAATGACTTTCCTTTTACAATAAGAATAGCATCACCTTCCCACTTTTTGTGTTTTTTCTTTGAAGCTTTACACCAAACAACACTGAAATATTTAACTAAGCTAGCAGGTTCCTCTTCTTGTCCCTTAGACACTGTTATTTCCTTAGGAGCTGAATGAACTAGAATAAAAACATAAAATAAAAAACAGATTATTAATATTTAGTACAGTCATTCAAACAAAAATAAAAGCACAAGAAAATTAGATTGTATTGAGAAGTATGAAAGACTATTTGATCATACTCATATTAGCATTGTATAAACTGAGAAATTCAAATGTCAGGTACTAGTATTACCATGAGTACCATGAATGTAAATTTCTTATCATCCCGAAGTCATATAAACTCAGTTGAAGTAGAATAACATGAAAAGCACTGCCAACATTTTAAAACTCTAGGAATTAAAGATAAAATTTCAACATCCATGGAAAAATATCTAAAATCACAGGTTTTGAACAAACAACTAATTTAATTAACAGTGACATGACAAGTCAGGAAAAGAAAAATAAGATCACAGAGTTCTCTAAAAGAAAACTTTGTATTCTTTTTCAAATAAGAACAAATGTAACACAGCAAAGTAGGTATCAGACTAAATTTCATTAAAATACTTTTATCTCCTAGTTAGGGAGTAACCAGGTTGGGCCATTGATTCTGAGAATTCAGTAGTACATGAACAGAAAATAAAGTTTCTTCTTACAAAAGTTTGTACTTTTCTCGAAAACATTTCCAGTATCACCTTATAAAAACATATCCAAAAAGCCTATCACAAAAAATTCCCCAGCAACAGGAAAACCAGTCTATGGTGACAGAGACCAGATAGATGGTGGTTGCTGTCTCTGGAGCAGGAGGAGTGACTGGAAAGGGACAGGAGAGAAGAACTTGTTCTGCGTGGTAGTTATATGGGTATATACAGTTAACAAAAACCATCACTGATCTTTTAAGAGCCATACACTTTATTGCATGTTAATTATACTTCACCTTAAAAAATACAAAATAAAACAAAACAAAGAATAACACCAGAATAGGTTGAAAGGCATGTACATGATATTCTAAATAATGGTATCTTTTAGTGTTTTGAAGCAAAAACACTCTAACTTATCTATGAATTCAAAGTATACTCGACGCTTACAGACAAAATCTCGCCAGCCCTGTCTTACTTCCTCTTTTCCCCTTGACCGTTATAGTTAAAACAGCAGCATCCCCATGAGAAATACAGACCACCCGCATACTGAGTCCTAGCTCCTGCTTCTCACCTAACTTGTAGGCTATATTTTCAAGGGCTAGATAAAAGCTACTCTAGCTGAAACTAGCAAAATCTCATTCCCTCATTACTGAAGAGCCCTTCACCATGTCTTTTACCAACTACACACTGGACCCCAGGTAACTATCAAAACAATACAATTTACAAAACAAAAACCAAATAACTACTTTACCTTTTAAACTATACCATCTATTTAAATAGGAAAAGAAAAAAGAAAGACCCTGAGATCAGGAATAAGACAAAGATGCCCACTTTCACCACTTCTATTCAACATTGTCCTGGAAGTCCTAGCCATTGCAATAAGGCAATAACCACAAAAAGCATCAAGATCAGAAAGGAAGAAGTAGAACTGTGCCTGTGTGCAGATAATAAGATTTATTACATAGAAATCCCCAGGAAACCTACAAACTAATGACTAGAATTAATAAAACATATTTAGCAGAGTCACAGGATGCAGGATTCAGATGTAAAAATCAATTGTATTTGTATAGACTAGCAAGAAATAATTGGAAAATAAAATATTAAAAAGTCCTTTCACAGTAGTTCCAAAAAAACACACGTGAAATACTCAGGAAAATATCTAATAAAAGGCATCTAAGATCTTTACACTGAAAACTAAAGCTGTGCTGAAAGAAATTAACAAAAATCTAAATAAGCAAAGCTCCTATTTGAAGGATAGGAGATTCCAATTTTAAGATAGCAATTCTCCCCAAAATGATTTCTATATTCAATACAATAACAATCAAATCCCAGGATGCTTTTGCTAGAAACTGACAAGTTGATTCTAAAATTTATATGAAAATGAAAAGAACCTAGAATAACCAAAGCAATTTTTATTTATTTATTTATTTATTTGTTTATTTATTTTTTTAATTTATTTTGTGTGTGTGCGCGTGAGGAAGATCAGCCCTGAGCTAACATCTGCCAATCCTCCTCTTTTTGCTGAGGAAGACCGGCCCTGAGCTAACATCTGGGCCCATCTTCCTCCACTTTATGTGGGATGCCGCCACAACATGGCCTGACAAGCGGTGAGTCGGTGCGCGCCCGGGATCCGAACCCGACCGCCAGCAGGAGAGCGTGCGCACTTAACCGCTACGCCACAGGGCTGGCCCCAAAGCAATTTTTAAAAAAGAACAAAGTTCTTTTTAACAACACAGAGAATAATAAGCAGGAATATACTCACACACACATGGCAAATTGATTTTCAACAAAACTAGTGAAGCAAATACAATGGGGAAAAAGAAAGTCTTTTCAACAAATATTGCTGAATCAACTGGATATCCACATGGAAAAAGATGAACATCAACCATTAACTCCTCCGTATACAAAATTTAACTCAAAATGCATCATAGAACTAACTGTAAAACCTAAAACCTCAAATTTGTACAAGAAAACATAGAAGAAAATATTTGTAACCTTGAAGCAGGCAAAGGTTTCTTAGACATAATACAAACGCTGAAAACGTAAGAAACAAAAATTAAGGGCTGGCCCTATGGCATAGCAGTTAAGTTCACACGCTCCACTTCACTGGCCAGGGGTTTGCAGGTTCAGATCCTGGGCCCAGACCTACGCACCACTTATCAAGCCATGCTGTGGCGGCGTCCCATATAAAGTAGAGGAAGATGGACATGGATGTTAGCCCAGGGCCAATCTTCCTCAGCAAAAAAGAGGAGGATTGGCAACAGATGTTAGCTCTGGGCTAATCTTCCTCAAAAAAAAAATTATAAATTGAATTTTATCAGAATTTTAAAATTTTGCTTTTTGAAAGATACCATTAGGGAAAAAAAAAAGGTAAGCCACAAGAGGATAATAATATTCACAACACATATTTAAGACAAAGGACTTGAATCCAGAATATATAAAAAATTCTTATGGCTCAAAAATAAGACAACAAACAAATCAATAGAAAATGGGCAAAAGATTTGCCCATTTAATTCAGAAAATATAATTCAGAAAAGAACATATACAAATAGGCATGCAATAAGCACATAAATAGATGTTTAACATCATTAGTCATCTGGGAAATGCAAACTAAAAACACAACACAATACACTTCACATCCACTACGATGATTAGAATCAAAAAGTCAGATAATAACAAGTGTGGTATAGATGTGGAGGAATAGGAATCCTCATACACTGCTGGTGGGAATGTAAAATGGTGCAGCCACTACGGAAAACAGCCTTGCAAATCTTCAAAGATTAAATAGAGTTACTATATGACTCAGCATTCCACTCCTAAGTATATGCCCAAGGGAAATGAAAATACATGTCCACACAAAAACTTGTACATGAATGTTTAGGATTATTCACGATAGCCCAAAGGTAGAAACAACCCAAATGTCCATTCAGCTGACAGATGGATAAACAAAATGTGGTTCTGCCCTACAATGGAATATATTATTCAGCCATTAAAAGGAATAAAGTACTGATACATGCTACAACATGCATGAACCTTGAAAACATTACATTCAGTGAAAGAAGCCAGTCACAAAAGACTACATATCATACGATTCCATTCATATGAAATGTCCAGAACAGGAAAATCGATGGAGACAGAAAGTAGATTAGTGGTTGCTTAGAGCTGAGAGGTGAGGGTGGGGAAGGCGGGGGCTGGGGGGGGGCTGGAGGGGGGCTGGTGAAAGCTGAAGAGTACAGGGTTTCTTTTAGAGGTGCTGAAAATGTTCTAAAACTGACTGTGGTGATAGCTGCACATAACTGTGGAAATACTAAAAATCATGAATTATATACTTTATATGGGTGAATTATATCATATGTGAATTACAGCTCAAAAAAGCTGTTTAAAAACATGAAATACCACCACATATCCACTAAATTGACTAAAATCAAAAAAACTGACCATACCAAGTGTTGGCAAAGATGAAGAGTCAATTATATCTAGGAAAAAAAAAAAAGATGTAAAGAAGCTGGAAATATTGCACACTGCTGGAAGGAATGTAAAACAGTACAATCACTTTGGAAAACAGTTTGGCAAACTCTTATAAAAAGTTAAACATACACCTACCATAACCAGCCATTCCACTGTAACGTATTTACCAAAGAGAAAAGAAAACATACGTCCACAAGAAAAAGAAAATGTGTACATCATCAGGCCAGGTTAACCAATCTCCCAAAAGCCTGAAAATCCATTGTCACTACTAGAATTCAGATAACTCATGTTCATCACTGGCAGTCATAAATTTAGAAAATGACTCTTGACTATCTTCAAAGAATAAATTATCCTCAGAACCGCCAAGGTTTTTTTCTGAGAAAATATATGTTCCTGAGTCAGCTGTGTCCAGAATGCATGGCCCAATGAACTTGAACCAGCCCCTGAAAGGACTCAGGCTGCTGTAATCCTGAGCAGGAGCCAAGCAGGCAGAGGACTTAAATGCAGTGGCCCCAGTTTCCTGGTCTTCCTCCCACAATGAGGGTGTATGGACAAAGGGTCTTTTTGTATACTTCTTTGGGGGAAAATATGTTTCTAAAATATGAAGAAATATGGTGTATAGTTTTTTATTCTCCTCTTTTCATATATTATTTTGAATGTTTCCCACGCCATTAAACAAAAAAGTAAAATGACGTTTAATATCTGCAAAATGATATCACCGATAGTCCTACCAATCAAGAAAGTGTCCACTTCACTACACATACATCAGCACAATATATCATCTTTACCAATTTTTCTCTAATTATATTTATTTTTTATTGTTAAAATTATCATACGGTCACCAAGACAAAAAATAACAAACGCTGGCGAGGTTGTGGAGAAAAGGGAACACTCATTCACTGCTGGTGGGAATGCAAACTGGTGCAGACTCTATGGAAAACAGTATGAAGATTTCTCCAAAAATTAAAAATAG